GTGGGGGAAACTAAAAAATGGCGGAAAATTGGAAGCACTGAACGTTAGATCTATAGAACGAAAAGACACTTCCTTTTTTCGGGACCCGAGTCCGAATAACATTTCTTCATATTCGGACTCGAGTCCGAATAAGAATAACATTTTTTAATATTCGGACTCGAGTCCGAATAAGAAATTTTTTTATTTGGACTCGAGTCCGAATATGAAAAAATGTTATTCGGACTCGAGTCCGAATAACGGCGGCCTTTGACACAATTACACAGTCCAATCGAGATCTAGACTCTAGTATCCAAATCTAGTCTAATCTAATTCTGTTTTATGTAAAATCCCCCGACAACAGTCATATTATGTAACCTCCTTACACTCAAATAACTCACTTACAAGCTGAGTCCGACTACGTACATGGTAACCGGGCACCTAGCCTCAGCCTCAGTGTTTACGTACACGGTAACACGCACCCGGACACAAAGTCTCAGTGTCATGTACACACGGTAGCGGGGCATGTAGCCTCATAATGTACGCATTTTATAGGATCAGATCTAGATCTAGATCTATATCTAGAATGGAAGAGGCTAGCCGTACTTAATTACGGCTAGACTGGTTGGCTAGCCGTACTTAATCTCAGGTACGGCTAGCCACTTCGATGAAAATTTATAACGCTCTATCTTTCATAGCTTTCTTATAAAATATGACTAACCACCTCTCACAAGCTGATAAGATATTACGAGAAGTTACGCCCATTTGAATTATAACCTTTCTAGACGCTCTTGTTGTTTTGAATGACCTGAGGTTCGAAAGGGGATAATATAGGTCAATTTCCGAATGTTTTGCACTCAAATTGTTCTTTGTACCTGCACAATGGTAATCAAAACTATTGAACAAGCTTATTTTTTATCATGTAGTATTAAAAGTGACATTTTTCCCCCTTAACGTTAGCACTCTCATTTGAATGTGCTCAATGTTTCCAGACCCAGCATAAAATTGTAGAGGCGTGCTAGTCTAGAGATCTAGATCTAGTACTTAGATCCACCTGTGGAAATATTCTCACCCCAGGTTTATAGGTCGGCCTACAGCCTGTATCACGTCTTATAAAACTACATCTTGATAGGTAGGAAAGACGATATAAGTAACCCGACCCGGGTGGGAATTCTCACTTCCAAAAAATAATAATGACCAACACTCTAGATCTAGGCTCTGTCTACAGTACATAGTATGATAGTAGTAGATTTAGTAGCCTAATAATGCGCATGATTAATTTACTTAAGGTTTTGACAGCTTTTGGTCAATCTGGAGCACTAAGACTCAGTCAGAGCTGGTTCGAGTTTGATGAATTTGTGGTAAAATTTTACTTTGACACCCTCACGCTCTTCACTGCTTTTGAGGGCTGCTAAACTACTGTATTTTTTCTGCAGCAGAGAAATCATGTAGGCGACTATTGTCCATTCATTGTATTTCAAGCTGTCGCAAATAATTTCTGTGACAATATTTTTTTTTAAATTTCAAACTTAAAAACTAGGCTATTTGCAAAACATCAGATAAAGTTGAAACACAGGACGGAGAGGGGGGGGGGGGATGTGCGCAAGTAACAAATCATAGAATTCTTTTGAAAACCAAAACATTACTAATTATGTTTTTTACATTGTATTCAAGAGAGATAGAGAGAGAGGAGAGGAGAGAGAGAGAGAGAGAGAGAGAGCTGGAGGGGGGGGGGGGATGTGCGCCCTCCAACCCTCCCCCATCCCCCAATTATTTTAACTCAGGGGAACATTATTATAATCCACTTTCCAACTTTAAATGGGTTTTTTTCAGATTTGGAGAATTCGGGTTAATAAGGTTTTTTGTAAGATTCGACTCCCATGTATAGCCTCAATCTATGTGAAAAACACAGGTTTGGCATTCCAGTATTGAGGCTTGCCAGAATGCTGGTGAAGCTGAAGTTCTAATGTTAAAGGATGCACGATTAGTTTGTAAAGTAAATTATATCTATGATAGTACAAATTTGAAGACAGCATATAAAATAATCAAGGCTTCCTTGGACAAGATTGGCATGTTTTGTATGTGGTTGATTGGGGGTTTGGGGGGGGGGGGCTTGTTTTTTTTTCAATAGTACAAAACCCAACTATCGTAACTCTTTTGGGAGTACATATTTTAAAAAAAGAAAATTTGTATTTTGATGATAATACCTTTCGTTTTCAGATATCTCAAAATCCCTACATGTATGACAACCATACAGAGAGAATTAAGCTTCTTCGAGAAATTGGAGATCTGAATCGACTTCGAGATGCTCGTCAGGAGATGAGCACACATTTTCCTCTCACAGAAGGTGAACTTTGTGTCCTTGCAAGTACTGAAAAACAGAAACAGGGGCAAACACCAAGTGATATCTATAGAGATAATATAACATAAATTCCAATACTTTAGTTCAAAACACTGTTTTTAAATTAAATTATCCTTGTCCTTATTTCTGATTTTTTTTTTTACCCTGAAAAGAATTTTAGTGCAATGCAATAAAATGTACTTTGGATGGATGTAAACTATGGGGTGAAATAGTTTGCATATATACAGTAGTCTCCGCCTAAGATCCCACCACTTACGATCCCAGTTCTCTTAAGATCCCACTGTTTTAAGAAAACAGAATTTTTACTATGCAAAAGTCACCCCTAAGATCCTGCTCTGATCCACTCTAAAGGTCTATATTCCACTAATATCCCGTCTTTCTGATCATAATTTTCGGAACAAACACCCGGCCGGGGACAGCCAATCAAAAAAGAGTGAAAAGTTGAGATCAATGAACTGCCCGTCGCGTCGAGGATCAGCCACTTTCGTGAGTGTGATCACATAAGCATTTTAAAACTCTATGAAACGGTACAATGGGATCCCACAGATGTGTGAACTGACCGACGCGTTTGTTTTCCCCGAACATAGCTCTCGCATCTGAGCTCTCCACCTAAACTTACATCACTTCGCTCCAAGCGGGATCACATCGTGCTGTGAACTCTTCTCTGACCAGTGCAACAGTTTTCTCTATTCCGGAGTTGCGAGACAGACTGAATTTTACTTTATGTGGTCACAACATAATGGAGCATAGCGACAAAGGCGAGGGAACTTGGTCAGAGAAGGACAGCTATAAATTTTCGACCGGTAAAGGGGAGGGGCAACTGGATAAGAGTAGATCTTGAGACTCACGATAGGATAATAACAGGGTCCCCACCAGGTCGGGAAATCGGGAAAAAGTCGGGAATTTTGAGATGGGTCGGGAGGTCGGGAATTTTGTGATGGGTCGGTAATTCGGGAAAGGATAGGGCCTGTTTAATATTAGTAGTGTAGCTATCTAGACAGTATGGTTGATGAATCATGAAGAGGACACGTAATTGAACCGCTATGGCGGAAGTGTATGTGTGACACCGAGGCTCGGTCGGGAAGAATCAAGATCTACTTTTGCTTTCGTTACCACCCAGAAATTTTCCGGTAATAGTCCGATAGATAACGCAACATTTGTAACATGCAGGTTGTGCATTATGAACGCTGTGTGGCCTTGAAAAAAAATCAGTATTAAAAATGTGTCCTCTGCTGTCACTTGTGAAAAAAAAAATGAAAAAAAAGTTATACAAGCGTCTTGTCAGGTTCGCCCTCGTGACTGGTCAATGAACCTGTGAGTGCCGGCGGTCTGAGCGCTGTGAAGTATAGGACTTTAATTTTTTTTTTAATAAGATAAACTCAGGGAAGGGGATTTGGGGGGAGCTGAAGACTACGCTAGAGGTCAAAAACTGAACTTGGAAGCAAATTTTTAGTATTTAGAATTTTGATAACTACGAAAGAGCTCTCTGCAAAGCACGCATTGGTGCAGGCCTGGTTGAATCGGGATCCGTCATGCCTTGTTACTGAACTAAGGTGTTCGCGTTTCATTGGAGGGGATGACTGTAATTTATATCTAGTCTATATTTTAGCTTTCTATTCAAGATTGACTGAATTTCAGTGTTACTGCATCTTGCCCTTCCTCAGTTCTTACACCTCTCACACTGAATAGGTCTATTTGAGCCGTTCAAGTTATTACTATTACTCTACTTTCAGTTTGAGCAATACACGGCTGTCTAAATCGCCCCAAAACCGCCAGTTTAGTTACCGGGCAAGGGTTTCCCGCCGACCACCCCGAGACGGTAATAAATCAGCTGTCAGCCGTGCAAGGTACCGTGACGGCAGCGGCACTCCCGGCGTGCCTCGGCCGTGCCCAGGAAACTTGATTCCAGTCATTTTCGATTAATTTGATCCCCAATATCTCCCGATCTAAAGATGCGATGTCTCCACGTGGGGTCTCAATTTAAAGGGCTACTTCAACCCGACAAGACGATATAATTTTCTCTTGTGTGCGTTCACTAGTGTTAATCCTGCTTGCTGAGAAATGCACTCTATCCTTTATTACTTTTAAAGCAACTTGCATCTATTTATTTTTATTTAAAGTCATTTTTCTCAATAATTGAGCCCACAATTAAATTTTTTCTCCTTGATTACTCTTGAGAAAATAGTACTGAGTTACATGAGGAAAAGAGAACTTTGTACGTATTCTGTGTGATTCATGGTGACCGATTTTGTGTAGACCTTAGAGTGTGAAAGTACCCCATCCTCGTTCGCCTTGTTTGGATTTCTTCTGCTTTTTTGCTGTGGAGTATTGGAACATTAATATTCCTAATGGAGTGCCATGATGAAGCGTCCCATGTTCGGTATATTCATGAACTTTGTAGAACATGTGGTGGTAGAAGTCTATCAGAAAAACAGAAATTGCAAAAGAGAAAAGCGTACAAATGCATTGACTTTGCACACGATATCTTGTTGGTATTTGGGGTTACGATAGCAGTTGATGAAAGGAGTAAACATTCTTTGACGATATGTTATGCCTGTACCTACAAGATAAAGCGCAGTAGGACCCATTCGTTTGAGGGAACTATAATAAACGCAAGAAAAGCAGCTGAAACCTCCTCAAATTTGTGGACAGCTTTTCGGTCTGATATACGCGCTAGTGACTGTTCGATATGCACACACTATCATCGCACATCAATGGGGAGCAAGAACACTCCAATAGAATTAGTAACAACGAAAACATCGGAAGCTACAAAAACAACACATTCACCACATAGATCTACGTTAGAAGACTCGGCAAACACAACAAGTAACTCAACTGCAGAGCCATCTACACACACAGAGGACAATACTAGTCATGAAGAAAGACAGGACGAAGACATCGCATCTCTCGATACTAGCGCTGCATCATCAACCACAGGCCACAGTGAGTTTGAGCTTCAACTCCCCCCTATTGCTACATTCACGCCATCCAAACCTAGATAGCTAATGGTAGATAGCAACACTTCAACTCTCCCTATTGCTACATCCACGCCATCCAAACCTACACAGCTAATGGTAGATAGCAGCACTTCAACTCTCCCTATTGCTACATCCACGCCATCCAAACCTACACAGCTAATGGTAGATAGCAGCACTTCAACTCCCCCCTATTGCTACATCCACGCCATCCAAACCTAGACAGCTAATGGTAGATAGCAGCACTTCTCCAGCATTTAAACACGACAAACTCTTCTCTCAGTCTCTAGAGATCTCCCCAACGCGACCACTAACAAAAGAAAAAGAAAAACTTAATACTCATTTAGTTAGGAGAAAATTAAACAATTCAAGTACCAATACGATTCAGTGCAAAACAAGAGGACAACCCATAGTACTCACAAAACTTATAAAGGCCAGAAAAGAAACATCAAGGATCCTAATTTTCTGCGATTCTACATTCAAGCTTCAATATCTTTGCTTTGACGGAGCGTACAATGATGCCACCACGTGAGTGTTTACTTTATCCTATTTTCATCATATTTCCTTAATTTTGTCAAAATCAAAAGCAAAGATCATGTTCAATTTTTACTTAAAACATCAGACCCCTTTACAACTTTGCATAATTGCTATACAGTTTTATGGCATCCGTATGTCTGCAACAGTACCCAGTACAGTTTCACGATCGCTTCTACGTGCCCACACTATATTGATCGTTCAGAGCGTGTGATTTTCTTTGAGATCACTAGAATAGTTTTTGTTTACTGCCTCAGTTTATATGCTTAAAAAACATCGTGTGATAAGAAAACAACCGTAACTCGGCATCGGCAGTGAACCGGCGGCGCTGACCCGGTGACGGGGGTCACAGAGTATCGGGTTACGGGGAGTGCCGCGGGCTGGCGGTTTGACTAAGTTGGCGGTCGGTAACAGCCGTGAATAGTTTTCGTCTTCACGTTTTTTATATGAATCATGACACCCAGACTGGTTATTGAATGTCGATTTTCTGGTTCTAGAAATAGGTCTTTTCTCAGGCTCAAAACAGGATTCATTTTTTTATATAGGGCCTGTAGTTTATGTAGGCTAATATGATGAGGGGAAAATATAAATACATGTAAGTAAGAACAAACTGAAATACCAAAGCCACACAAGATCCCAGCGCCACACTGACATGTTGACTGGATATAATGTACCTACATGTGTGTGTGTGTGTATTCACAAACATATACATATTATATTAGATATAAATGGAGCATGCGCTGTCATTGTTTTGTAACATGTCCGTGGAAAATGGAGCCCCCCCAGCGGGAAAATTGAGAAGCTGGGTAGAGGTCACCCAGAATTATAATCATCTATTGTTTGAAGACTAACTACAAAACGTACATTTGTATTCATTTAAAGACATTTTGACTTTTTATCATTCATAGTGGGCTTTTTGGGGGATCATTCTTGACGCACAGCGGCGCCTGATTTTTCCCTCAAATTGGGGTCTTGAAAAAAATTTTGGGGTCTTGAAAAAAATTTCCAGGATTTGATGGGGACCCTGTAATAAGGGAAAATGGCACGCCCCATGCCTCTATGCACTGTGACAGGTCATCAAGGTTAACCACTCTTTGCTCGCCATTTGTCATAAACCCACCCAGGGTTACTCAGTTCATTTTAGAGTAGAGGGAGGACATTTTACCGATTGTAAGCCTTAACATGGGTCAAGGTAGATTCTTCCTTAGGTTCGTCGGCTAAGATCCTGGTTCACCTAAGATCCCGCATTTCCCTTGCTCCCGGGTGCCGGGATCTTAGGCGGAGACTACTGTATATATTATATATATATATATATATATATATATATATATAATATTCTTCCAAAGTGAATTTTGATCAGTGCTGAAATATAATAATATGTGAAGCGAGCTGACAAAATTAATTACTTCTCAAATTCAAACCTTAAGGAAATAGATACATAACGCTTGCAGGTGTAGTTTTTACTATTGATAAGTATGAAATAATAAAAAGCAGGTTATTGTTAAAGAATATGGCATCAATAGAAAATCTACAAGTTTGACCCTAATGTCGATATTTGGTCAATATATCATTTTGTGAATAGCGAGAAGTAACGCATTTTGTCAGCTCTCCACACTTATATTTTTTATATTGTTGGCTGTTGTCCTTCAAAGTAATTAATGTACAAATTTATCTAAAACAGATTTCTCAGTGCTGGTAGTTTGTTTTTAAATGTAATTTTTAAACTTAAAGTGGTCCTTTTTTATTTTGAATTTTAAAATTACTCTATGACAACTTTTAAATGATGATTAATTTTCATAGTCCATTTTTTTTCCTGAACAGAATTGTGGCTGGACTGGCTGCGGGATGAAATTACATTAGTAGCCACAGCTAGTGATCGAAGCAAGGTGGAGGAACTGTTTGAAAAAGCTTTTCAGGATTATCTCTGTGAGTCATATTCTTGATTACAATTGTTTTTGTGGTAGAGATCAAGAAAATAGGCGATAGGGTCAATGCTACATGTTGTTTGCTAAACTTTTAATTCCAGAAACTCTCGACAGGAAAATGACAAAAGACTTTTTTAAAAACATTTACTGTAAGACTTATAACAAGACCTTAGTTTACACAGTGAACTGTGATGACTGGAAATTGAAAGATCGTTTATTCTGGTTGCATTTTTGGGTTTCAAGTGAACACTTCCTCAGCAAAAAGAATTTTAACAGTTGCATTTGTTTTCCTTATCTCCAGAGACCCTAAATTTATTTAGCAATGCCAATCGGGCTTTCCCGCGCGGCGAAAATTTGGTCCCTATTTGCGGACGATTTTGCGGACCCGGCCGAAGCGTAGGTGACTAACTGTGTCAACCTCGGTCTGCTCTATTTCCAAACCAATCCGACTGAAACTCGGCAGCCAATCAGAAAATAGGGCAAACTAATGATATGTGGACGTTGAAGTTCGTACACATAAATTAACCTATACTTTTGGTGTCGGGAACACTTTCGTATCGTGTACACCGAAAACTATAAGGAGTTTGAGTTTCAACGCCGAGATGGTAATAGATATATCTATCCTCTATAGTGTGTTCAATTTTGAACATTCTGTGTCAAGTAGTTGTTTAGACCCGATCATAAATGCATGACTACCCCCTATCCAAAGCGGCTTCGCACGGAGACCAGCCATTTTCCCCTCACTCTCACGGCAAATGTATGTGACCTACAAATCCCCGCATAACTATTCCGGGCCCGTTCATTGGTCACTTGAAATAGGGCAATGGCCGGCGCACGCATCCAGTTGTTTTTCTCTCTATTCCCCTGTAACATCGCAATGGGGGTATTCGGAGGCGAGGTTATCTCGTCTCGGGGTGTTCACGTCTCAACGGGGAAAAAGAATTTTTAATTGTACGGCATGCTAGATTGAATTAACTTATCTTTTATGGTTGGCATGGTCTAAAGTCATCATAAAAAGCTTTGTAATTATTTAGTCATGCTGCCGACATATATTCTTAAAGATCCCATGTTGTGATGCGATGCTATAAATAAAATGGACTCATCCCAACACCCCTTTTTCGCAAAATCGTAATATGTACACCAAAATTTTAATTATAACAAAATAACTACGACTAAATGATTTCTACACCCAAAAATTAATCGGGTAGCCAAGTTTCTCTCGAACACTCCGATTAGTTACCGAGATATCGTCGATTTTCTTACAGAATCTGCTACTGCGTGTCCACTTTTTAGGAGTATTTTCCTATATGTGGGTCATCCATATTTTGCCGACCTTTACAACCCCATAACTTTTTTATTCATGAACCGATTCTTAAAATTCAAGAAGCATAATTCTTAGAATTGAAAATTCTTTCTTAGGTACCAAATAAAAAAGGGCTATAGTTAAAATTTACATTTTCATTGGCATTGCTAATTTATTTATCAAACCACTTTATATGTAGGATTGAAATGTTCTTGTCCTGTTCCGCTGATCCAACAGGATAATGTCCCTGAGATATATGCCTGTGTGACGACTGTGTCTCTTATAATCTCCATCTGTCTCAGCTGTGCCAGTGTGGCTAGAGTACGTCCAGTTTGCCATTGGCCGGATGGCTGAGGAGGAAGGCATTCAGAAAGTGCGTGAGGCATTTGAGCGGGCCCTGGCCTCTGTGGGGCTCCACGTCAGTCAAGGAGCCAATATCTGGGAGGCCTACAGAGAATTTGAGAGTGCTGTTACTGCTGGTCTCATGGTGAGTTTAAATTTGTATCCTTCTCTGGTCCTTCTCTCCCTAACTTTTGTTCTGATACGGGTTCTTTCAGGAAGAGCAGTGGCCTTCTTGAACCGGTTGGACCTGTATTGTTTGCTGTTCAGCTCACCCCTGATTATGATGGTCAGCAGTCAAGACCTGACCATTTTCCGCGTTGTGTTTCTCAGACTGTAGGGGGAAGGGGGGCTTTTGTGATGCATCATCATCATCATCATCTTCATCATTACCATCACTGCCTTTCTCACTCTGCATCAGGGTATAGGCCGCAAGAAAACACTTTCCAATATTCCCTATCCTAGGCTAGCCTCTTTATATTATTCCATGTCTTCCCACTTTTCTGTACATCATTCTCTGTGACTCTTCTCTAGGTTCATCATGGCTTTCCGCTTGATCTCTTACTCTTATCCTATTCCACACTTTATTTGGGGGTTGTTGTTTTTTATACTATCCAGTGATATAAAATTTATCACTCCTGTTTTCGGATTTTTCAATACGCTACATGACAGAAAGCAAGATGGTGTGTTCCCATAGGTCTTGTAACATGTAGTTTAGAGTAAAACAGGAAAAATATGTTTTTTTGCTTGATTTTGGTGATACTTGAACATTATTTTTAGGAGTATTGCTGTTATTATCAGGCACTTTCATGGGAACTGCTTCTATTAAGTCAGATTTACTTGGCTCCAACACTCCAATGGAAATTTTTTAACCGTTTTCTGTTTCTATTTGGCCTACCGCGACTTGAAGTATATGTGAGGCAGCATGGTGAAATCAGGCGCTCGTCAAAATAATGAAAGTCTAGAAACTGGCATTTTTTCCGCTGGCTTCGGAATTTTTATTGAATTTTTGTTTTTTGGCTCAAAACCGTTCATGCCCTTTTAAGAACACATTTATGTGTGTATTTTACTGAAAAACTTTGATTATAGACATAAAAGATGTAAATTTTCAGTTTCCACAGACTTTCAAGCTAAGGAAATATTTTAACTTTGGCAGCCATTTTCTCATTAATTTTACATTTGAAATCAGGCAACCCTCACCTATTTCAATGGCCAATATCTTGACTTGCTTCCAAGATAAATGGATAATTTTTTCCTCAAAAGCAGTGCAAATGGACAGGCTTTAAGATGATATCAATTACTTCTTATGCCCCAAAATTGACGAGCCCCTGATTCCACTGCGTCGTGATACATATATATCTAGTGTTCAGGTTGCTATGCAGTAGACCCTTGCGGGTGCGTAATTCACTGTATGCATCCCATTAAACTGTTCCCGTGGTTTTATGCACCCCACATAATTTAGCAGAATTTGATCATTTGTGTGTGTGCCTGAAGAAAGGTCACCCCCAGTGGGTCGGGGGGATATAAATAGACCCACTGCTTCGTCTGTAGAAGGTGCAACCCCTTCAAAGGCGAGGTGTCGCACTCGGACCCCAATCCTCTGAGATCCGGATGCGACACCTACTTTGGTGTATCTTCCTCTTCTCCTTCCTTCTTTCTTTCTTCTTCTGTCTTTCCTGCCACCGCTGACCTCATGTGCAGCAAAAAGAGAGGTCACCCATCCCACAGAGTGGGCGCCTTGTTGACCGTGAGGTGCGACCCGTGCGGAGGGAAACCGGGTACCTGGCGGTTGAGGTGAGATCAGTCCACGGACTGTCCCTCACCAACACACCTCTTTGGCCCAGGTTTTCCTCTTAGACGGGAGGGTGGCACGGCCCATGCCACTCAACCGGTTGAGAGCTGAAACCCCATCAAGCCCTGGGTCAATCTTGACGGGAGGGTCTTGTACTTTCTCGTTGAGAGTATAGCTCCGGGGTAGCCCTGGCACAGCTCTGGATATCCGAGCTATGTGTCCCCTTGTTGGGCTCCGTGGCGGGCGGGGAGCCCCGGAGTCGAATAAAATAGAAAACTCTCATGGAATCCAAATAAAAAAAAGACCCTTCCCCAGCTCCCAACGTTAAAAAGTCTCGGCTCGCGGAAGCGGGTGCGGCCGCCGAGCCGAGCAAAAACTCCAAAACTGGAAAAAGGACCTTTACGTCTGCCTCTTTTCTCCCTTCTCCCAGGGAGCTTCCGAAGCAGCCGTACGTGGCCATCTGCTGCAAAGAAGACGCACAGAAAAAGATCACTGATCTAAATTTGTTCAAGACGGGAGATGCACTAAGACAGGTTCTGGGATACATTCCTACGAATGTCCAGAAGCTGTCCTCTGGTGTACTCCTAGTCAAGTGCGCAACAGAGACTGAAGTGGCCAAACTTCTGAACATCACGACCTTCAGCAGTATTCCATGTACTTCCGAACGATACCAGAAGTTGAACTGCTCGAAGGGCGTCGTCCGCAGCCATGAACTAAAGGGCTGCAGCATGGAGGAAATTGTGGCGAACTGCGAAGGTGTGATTGACGCCCGCCGGATTACTCTCCGACGGGGGGAGACCACCCTCGAAACCAACACGGTCATCCTGACCTTTGATTCGTGTTGCCCTCCAGCCACCGTTCGGGCATCGTACTTGGTCTTAGACGTGCGACCCTATGTACCGAACCCTCTGCGCTGTTTCAAGTGTCAGAAGTTCGGACATAGTCAGTCGAGATGCCGACACGCAGCCGTGTGTCCTCGTTGTGGCAAGACCGGGCATCCTGAGAAGGAATGCAAGGCTATTCCTTGTTGCCCCAATTGCCACGGCCAGCACACAGCCTTTAGTAAGGATTGCCCGACTTGGATTCAAGAACGCGCAATCCAAGAGTATAAAGTACGAAATGGCTGCTCGTTTCAGGAGGCCCGCAAAGCTACCTGCCCGCCAGTTGTGACCCCGATCCCTGGCCGGTCATACGCCAAGGTAGCACGGGAAGCCACGAGGTCCGCAAGTCCTTCAACTGCTGACCTCCCAAAGCCCACGGTCAACAGGCATGTCTCTGTTAGTAAAACAAAAAAGGTTCTTCCTTTCATCGAGACACCTCTGACAAACCGCTTTGAGGTTCTAGGGGAGGACAGGGTGGATTCTCCCTCCGCCCTCTCTCCTCCCCCTCCCCCCTCCTCTATCACTTCCTCTTCTTCTTCCTCTTCTTCTTCCTCTTCTTCTCCTTCTTCTTCTTCTTCTCCTTCTTCTTCTTCTCCTCCTTCTTCTTCTTCTTCCACCTCACGCCTCATCCCTCTGATGGAGCGTGAGGTGCACCCTTCCCCCTCTTCCCAGCTCCCTCCGTCTGCTCCCTCTCCAGCAGACACCCCCCTACCCCACCACCAACCAATGGAGGAAGACATCTCCGACCCCCCTCCCCGGCCTGACCCCGGGAAGGGCGGAGTCTGTCACTCCTCCAAATCCCCCACTAGACCGCCGTCCAATCCAGGACGGCAACCTAGAAAACACTCTGCCTCCCCCGTAAGGAGGAGTCAGAGTGCTTCTTCGAAGCCGGGGCCTAAGTGCTCCAAATCAAAAAGTAAAAATTCATAATGGCGGTCCTGCAATGGAATGCCGGCGGAATCCGACCTTCCATTGCAGAATTGCAACATTTACAGGCCACACTGTGCCCACGGGTGGCCTGTATTCAAGAAACAAAATTCGCCCCGGCTTCAACCATAGACTTAAGAGGATTTACTGCGTACCATCACATTCACACGGAGAACCAGATTGCTTCCGGTGGTACCACCATCTACACCGACAACCACACACTCCACAGACAAGTACATCTTAAGACGACCCTCCAGGCTATTGCCGTACTGGTCACCCTGCACAGACCAATCACGATCTGCTCAGTTTACATCCCACCAAATTACCCCCTCAAAATAACCCAACTAAATGACTTAAAATCTCAGCACCCAAAACCCTTTATTTTACTAGGTGATTTCAATGCCCACAGCCCCCTTTGGGGAGACAAACCTATAGACCAGAAAGGTAAAATAATAGAAAACTTTTTATTTCAAAATAACATCTGTCTCTTAAATGATAAATCCCCAACTTTCAGAAACTTATGGCACTTCATCCCTTGACCTTACTTTTTGTACCCCTGAACTAGTCCCAGATCTTGAGTGGTCTGTGCTGGATGACCGTACGGACCATTTCCCAATTCTCCTCAAAAACAATAGCCTCCAAAACGACCCGATCCCAGAACGCTTCAACTTCAAAAAAGCCGACTGGGACGGGTTTGCCAATCAATGTTCCAAGATTCTTAATCCCAATTTCGACCACAACTACAATAAATTTCACGAAAAGCTCTTAGAAATATGCCACAATCACATTCCAAAAACAAAAACAAAACCCCGGAGGAACAAGATCTGGTTCTCTTGGGAATGTGAGGACGCAGTAAAGAAAAAGAAGGCAGCGTATCGAAGAGCCGTCAACAACACCACCATAGAAAATAAGATACTTTATTTAAAGGCTCGAGCTGAGGCACGTAGATGCCTCAGGGAGAGCAAAAGACAATCATTCCAAAAATACATCTCCAAAATCAACAGCCAGACACCACTCAATCAAGTTTTCCAAATTGCTAAAAAATTCTTAGGTAGACGCACAGACACCATTCGGCACGTCCAGAGGCCGGATGGAACAACAGCTGAAACACAAGTAGACATTGCAAACACAATAGCTACATCTCTAGCCAAAAACTCATCCCAAGCAAACTACAACACCACTTTTCAAAACGTCAAAACTAACAGAGAAAAACAACACCTAAACTTCCACTCAAACAACACTGAAACCTACAACGCAGACTTCACAATAGACGAATTAACATCGTGCATCTCGGACCTGGGCGATACAGCCCCGGGACCGGATGACATCCACAACAAGATCATTAGACACTTACCCTCAGAAACGCTCACACTCCTACTATACATATACAACGACATGTGGCGGTCGCACTCCTTTCCGGAGTCTTGGCGTCTCGCCACTGTCATTCCAATACCCAAACCTAACAAAGACCACACACACCCATCCAATTACAGACCTATAGCCCTAACGAGCTGTCTCTGCAAACTGATAGAAAAAATGATTCACAGGCGACTCATGTGGTTTCTGGAAACGACAGGCTCGCTGAGCGGTCTCCAGTGCGGATTCAGGAAAACCCGATCCACTCTGGATCACCTGGTCCGCCTGGAGACCTTTATACGCGAGACGTTCGCCGAAAGAGGCCACATGATCGCCATCTTTTTTTACCTAGAAAAAGCCTTCGACACAACCTGGAAGTACGGCATTCTTCGAGACCTGCACGCACTCGGCATACGCGGTCACCTCCCTGCCTTCATTGGCAACTTCCTGAAGAACCGTTCCTTCCAGGTTCGTGTCGGATCCTCCCTTTCAGACCCCCACCAACAGGAGGAAGGAGTCCCCCAGGGGAGCATCCTTTCTCCTCTCCTATTTGAAATTAAAATAAACTCCATAGTGAAAACCCTCCAGAACAGCATAGACAGCTCGTTATACGTTGACGACTTCTTGATATGCTGCCGATCGAAAAATCCTCATTTGAGATCTATGGAAAGGCAGCTGCAAATGCAGCTGCAAAAACTTGAAACGTGGGCAAACAACAACGGTTTCAAGTTCTCCCCGTCAAAGACGGTTGCAGTACACTTCTGCCGAACAGGCAGACGTGTGCTGCAGCCGGATTTGACACTATACGGGGAAAGGATTCCCGTCCAGGACCAAGCTCGTTTCCTCGGCGTCATTTTCGACAAAAAACTTACATTCATACCACACATCAAAGACCTTCGTGTGAGGTGCCAGAAAGCGTTAAACGCTTTGAAAATTCTATCAAATCCGGAGTGGGGCGGGGACTCAAAACACCTTCTCCACTTGTACATCTCCCTTGTCCGGTCCAGGCTTGACTACGGCTGTCAAGTCTACGGATCGGCAAAACCACACGTCTTAAAAATACTAGATCCAATACAAAACCAAGGACTCCGCCTCGCTCTGGGGGCTTTCCGCACTTCTCCGGTGGAGAGCCTCCAGGCCGAGGCCAACATACCACCACTCTCACTCAGACGCACACAACTCTCACTACAATACGCAGTTAAACAGAGCTCAACACCAGAAAATCCAGCGCACAACAGCATTTTTCAAACAAATCCAGAAACCAGAAACAGATTCCAAAACAACGAAAAACTCATCAAACCTTTCGGCCTCAGAATCCTTGAGGACCTCAAAAACTTACACTTTTCCAAACAAGACATCCAACAAATTCTTTTCCCCGACCTCCCTCCGTGGCACCTCACCAAGGCAAAAGTAGATTTACAGCTGACCACACACAACAAAGAAAGCACAAACACCAAAACTTTTCAAGCAGAATACAAAAAACTAATAGATAAATACCCCGGTGCAGAGCTCATCTTCACGGATGACTCCAAAAAAGACAATGAAGTGGGCGCCGCAGCCCTATCTCCCAACAATACACACCAGAGGAGACTCCATCCTGAAGCCTCCATTTTCACTGCGGAGGCCACTGCCATTGACATGGCACTGGACTCTGTAGAAAATTCCCCTAACAAATCTTTCCTTATCCTTTCTGACTCTCTGTCTTGCATCACCTCACTCACAAACTACACACTCCTACACCCAAAAATAGTTAGGCTACAACAGAAAATCCATACACTATTCGAAACAGGAAAAAACATCATGTTCGCATGGATACCCAGCCATGTGGGCATCCGAGGAAACGAGCAGGTAGACGACCTGGCGAAGAAAGCTTCATCCCTTCTGCTGGGATCAACGACAAACACTCTCCCACAGACTGACTTTAGAAATAAAGTCAAAAAGTACACCTCCAGTCTGTGGGAGAGCCACTGGGAAAACCAGAAAAATAATAAATTATATGAAATTAAACCCAGACTAGAACAGCGAAATCCTTCGGATCTCTCCAGAAGAGACGAAGTCATTTTTACTCGATTGCGCATCGAACACACGGCCCTGACCCACAAATACCTCCTACAGGGAGAGGAGAAGCCGTTCTGTGTCGGATGCGACACAGATTTTACCATTAGACACATTTTAACAGAATGTCTAGACTTTGGAGAGATCCGAAGGAAATATTATAAATGTAAGAAATTGCAGGATATTTTCTCCGTCGTTGTTCCCAGCAGAATTTTAAATTTTATAAAGGCCATTGGCCTTTATGGCGAGTTGTAAAGTGAATCTGATATTATTAAACATTTTTATTGTTACTTAAAAGTTGTTTTAGATCACAAATGTATTTACACCGAATTTGAATATTTTAACTTTTTAGCATTTTAAAGTAAATTAGTTACCAGTCGTGAAGTGAACTTTCGCAGAGGTGAACAACTTGTGTTTCGCGCGCTCATATGACCTTAGCAGTTGCAAGCGCCGTAAAACCTTATACTACTACTACTACTACTGAAGAAAGGTACCGAAAGTCGGGTTTTGTCCATTTTGAGTTAAGGGTTGTACTTTTTAAGAAATTCAAAGCAAAACACAGGGATTTTTGAATTTTTTAGATATCTCAAGTAGTTTTTGAGATATTGCACATTTTGTGAGGTAGGGTATAAAAATATGATTTTGAGAAAATGAGCTTTTAAGTTTATCAAAGTGAGGACGCTTACAAGCTTTTAAAAAAAGATTTTTTAAATATATTTATTCATGGAAAATTCATTTCTAATTTCGCATTCACTTGAAATCGATATCATGAATGGAATTCAATGGTAAAACATAGCAGAGAAGAGAAAACATGCTTCAACAATAGATTTTGACACCTTTTAAAAGCAGTTTTCATTATTTGTTTGTATTATACCCTTCCCTCAAAATAATTCAAAATGAAACATTTAGAAGTCAAATCAATGAAGACCACTTGAGCACATTGTAAAAAAATGTTTGATCTATCATTTATATATATGGTCAAAAAAATGATTTTTGTCTTTACCAGCCTGTAGCTTGAAACGGTCTGGGGCGACTTTTGGTACCTTTCTCTTGGCGCACTCAAATTTTTTGCCTAATTTCTGATTATTTTCCTTCATCGTTCTTTGTTAAAATTAACAGAATCGCATAATTTCACATTTCTGGACTCAGTTTGCATAATTTCACAGATGTTGTAATTGTTTTTTTTAAATCCTCTAGTTTGACCTTTTGAAAGTAAAGCGCTCAGAGCTAATTCTCATATGGGATAGAACACTATATAAATTCAATATATATTTTTTTATAAATTTGAAAATGTAAAGCATCAGCTCTTTCATTTTTTTTGGAATTCAGCCACAGCCCGGTGCAGTGGTGAGTGCTGAGCAAGAGGAAGCTTTTAAGACCCAAAACCAGAGAGTTGTCTCCCTCTTCAAGCGGCAGCTGGTCGTTCCCCTTCTCGGTGAGTTAATGAGTTAACAATAATATGTGTAATGACCTTCCAGACCTCCTGCTGGAATAGAAGGAAACGGGAGTCCTTGTCTCGATGTGACATTTGCATTGGTTGGATTCTGGGTTCGATCCCTCCAGCTGTTTAGAGAAAGACAGTTGTTACGTCTCTAGGAAAAGTCTGGTAAAATTAAATTTTACACCTTCCTCCCCCCCCTCCCCATTTGTAAGTTACAATAAGTAATAAGCGTCTTTCACGCAAGATGTCACAGCAAGCCAGATATAGCCCCCACAGAGAGCTGAGATCCAGGATGTGCCTAGTGTGCAGAGTAAATTCCAAATGGAGGGCTCAAACTGACTGGAACCAAAACTCTTTCATCAACTTTCCTCTCAACATGCAACTGCAAATGAATCCATGAAACTTACCATTCAATGGAGGAGGAATGTGTGTGACAGCATGTTTAAGTAAAGCCCAGTTCATTGGGTGTAAAGTGCGCAAAAGGGCAGAAAATATGTGTTAAATGATCTTTGCGGATACGCTCAGCCTCATTACTTCTAGCTATCCTCTGTCATTTGTATTAACTTCAAACTTATCTCTCCTCCTTCTTTTTTGTGTTTATTACTCCCTTGGGACACCCCTTAATCTTCGGCCCTCATATGACCTTTTAATTGTTTTGCGAGTGCTGTAAAACTCTTTTAAGAAAAATCAAAATAAACTCAAGTAAAAGTATCTTTCTTTCTCCTTGAGCCCTTTCCACTGGTACACCGGTGGCGTGTAAAACTGCCTGTATGCCTAGCCACCAGTACACCAATGAGCAAGACCCCGTCCCCAACATGGCCTGCCTAAGACCAAACGCGTATGGAAAACAGTGTTTACTACACAACATTATTGATTATTTTAAAGATCTTTCTGCATTTGATGCTGGTAATGAGGAGGGCTACCCTGAGCGTGGTACGGAAAGTGATTCTGATGAGTTTGTAAATGTTTATAATATATCGCTCAGGGTCTCAGGCAGGGGGGCATGGTAGCGTCAGGGGGTTAAGTCCCTCTTGTGTTGAGGTGATGCCAATGGCTTCAACTCTCAAATGACTGGTCACTTCCTTCCTTCCTCTGCCTGGCCTCCTTTAGGAGGGTGGCAGTCTGCCTTAGGCAGACAGGTAGGAGGCAACCTCATGTGGCCTGGTCCAGAGTACAGCCAGGTTCAGTCTAGCATTGTTCTCCATAAACAGGCCTCAATGTGGATCCTCCTGTGGGCACTCATACAGTACGTGCTGCAGGTCATCAGGACTTGTGCCACACGCTAGACAGAAATCATTGGGAATGGAGCCTATTGCATGGAAGTATGCCTGCAGGATGGGGCTCTTCGCGTTGGATCTTAGCTGCGATAACACTCTTCTCTGTATGACGGTTAAGTCTCTCTCTTTGTCCCTCTCTGGTGGTGGCTTCACCTTTCCCCCGACGGAGTCTTGCACTTGCCCTTTCTCCTACGTGTAGGCAAGATGTTACGCAAGATGCACGAGCTTGCTGATGCGAGATCGACTGGAGTGTTGGACTGGTCGAGGCAGCCTCCCTTGTTGGTCAGGGCGTCAGCTCGGTCGTTACCTTGGATGCCGCAATGTCCCGGTATCCATTGTATGTGTAGGTGTCTGTGGATATTACAGCAGTGGACATTTTGTCCTATATATCAGTGCGAACTGCAGTCACTCCGGACATTAAGTGTTGAACAAGTGAGTCTGTGAAGATGTGGATTTTTTGAAAACGTGGTTGTTTTTCGAGCCATTGCAGTGCGTGGAGCAGGGTGGTAGTTATAGCTCGGTAGTTGCTTCTGTATAGTCCCGCAGGCACGGATACACATGTTTCCTCCCCAGAAGATTTGTCTAGACACCAGTGTCCTCCACATAACCTGTAGTCGTCAGTGGCGTGGCCGTCAGTGAAGATATCGAGGTCAGATGTAGGCAATCGGCGCATGGTCTCGAAAGCTGCTTCACATCGGATATTAGGTGGATCTGTTTTTGTCGTAGACATTGCAAGCTTGAAGTTGATTATGAGGTTACAGGGGGTCTTCCACGGAGGAGTTGTACTCTGGCAGTAGGGGCTCTTGGATTAGATGTTCTAGTCCCGCGTTATTAGAGCTCTGTCGGCCCACTTCCCTCCGACTGTTGATGGACTTAAAGCATATTTTTGATGTCCTTTGAGCTGAGGCGCGGATCGGGTTGTTTTCTGGGACTCTTCTTGCTCTCTCGTATGCCACAGCAATTGCAATGTTAGACTTAACCTCAAGTGGGATGAGGCCAGCTTCGTTTGTGAGCAGCATTGCACTTGAGTCTCTCGTACACCCCGGTAATTATTCTAGCTAATGAGTTTTTATTAACATTCAAGGTCTCACGATTTGTATTGGCCATTCCTGGGTACCAGGCTGTGTGGGCATACTGGATGGCTGATCTGATGTACGCGATGTACACCATATGTAGATCTTCTTTGCTGCATCTCCAGTCTGTGCCGGAGAGCCTGCGGAGGAGATTGACTCTTGGGGCCAGTTTTTTCTTTAACTTATTTTTATGTTCTTTAAATGTTAGTTTACAATCAATGGTCATGCCAAGGAAGGTAGGTGTTTTGTTATGGGGCAACTCCTCGTCTCCCATTGTAAGCTGTGTACGCCAGGACATTTCACGTCTCCATGTTGTGAAAAAAGAGTATTCGCATTTCGCCAAGTTAATTTCCATCTTCCTTCGTTTTGACCTGTCGTAGATCTTGTCCAGAGCGGCCTGAACCATTGTGGCGGCGGTGTCAAGATTTTCATGGGATACCCATATTGCCAGGTCGTCTGCGAAGAGGCTGGTGTTGGTGCCTAGGGGTTGGTCACCTACGATGTCGTTGATGTACGTGAGGAAAAGAAGGTGATAATACTCTGCTCTGAGGGACGCCGGCAAGGAAGCGATAGTAGCGACTTTCTTGTCCCTCAAAACGAACTCTGGACCTTCTGTCGTCTGGATAAGCTTTGATCTGTCGTTGTAGACAGGTGGGCATTCCTTTGGCGTTTATCTTGTAGAGGAGTCCTGTATACCACACCTTGTCAAAGGCTCTTGAAAAGTCTATTAGACTGTATGGTTCTCTTTGCTTTGCGTCTTGGTCCAGAGTTTTCCTGAAGGTTGTCGGCTATGTGTTGCATTATCCTGGCTCTCTGGTCCTCTTTGCTACGCTGAGGTCGAAAACCGGCTTGCATATTGCCTAGGTTTTGCTGGGTTTCCAACCAGAACATCATTCTCACTTTTACTAATCTCTTGTATAATTTCCCAACGCAGCTTGTCAGTTGGATGGGTCTGTATGAGGTCATTTGGACAGGGTCTTTCCTGGTTTTAATGATAAGAATTATCGTACCTTTTCGCCAGGCTGCTGTGTATTGGGTAGTTTTCCTTTCTCTATTATTATAGATATTCTAGAGAGAATTCAGGCCAGCTTCAGGAAGATGGGTCTATATCATATTGTGGATTCCGTCATCTCCAGCAAATATATTTTTTGAGAACTTGAGTTCTGCAGTTGTCAGGGGTGAATATATTCCTTCCTGGCATGGGCATGTCGTTTTCATTGCTGTGTAGTTACTTCGATGCATCTTGCAATCAATGTTAATAGTTTCTCCTTTTGCTTCCAGTTCAGCCTTTGTGTCACTCTTAATACAGGAGACTTCACAGTACATTTGGGCAAACTTATTCGCTTTCTTTGCGCTGTCTGTTGGTTAACTATTAGAGCTGCTCCTTGTGGTGATGATCTAGATTTCCCATTCTGGACATTTCACGGTTCGCCAGATTTTGCTAAGGTTGCTGCGCGCGTCTAGTGTCTATACGTAATCTTGCCAGCTTTAACTTTCTGCTTCACGGGTGATGCTTCTGGTCTTGGTACACTGTTCCCGCCATAGTTCACGATCAGGTTCACTGTTATTTTCTAGTTTTCTTAGTCTAGTGCGCTCGGCAACAGCCTCTTGTACTTCTGAGTTCCTCCATGCAGCTCTAGTTCCGCTGCATTCATTGGGGATTGTAGATTTTGCTATCTTGGCGATGATATCAGTCAGTGTTCTGTTTTGGGCATCAGTAGATTTTGCCTGAGCAATTTGGTATAGATTTTTGTTGAACTCTCATTAGTTCCAAGTATTTTTTCCCAATTTGCCTTGCGCAAGATCAGATGTTTTCTAGGTTTTGGTTTTGTCTTTTCTTTTTATAGTTTGATAGTAATTTGAATAGGAAGGTGGTCAGATCCCATGGATTTTTCTAGAACTTCCCATTCTGCCTTTAGCATAATGTTCGTATGAGTGATGGAGACGTCAGGTGTTGACAGGCCGCTTGTGGCTGGGTTAACTCGTTTGGAACCTGTCATTTATAACCATACTTTCATTGCAGTCCACCTAATTTTCTATAACATGTCCTAGAGCATTTGAGGGCTGGTACAAGTCCCAAGTGTCACTGTGCCCATTTAAGTCCCCTAGTATCATAGAGTTTTCGGAGGTTGGACAGTATGCTGAGCTAAAGTGTTGTGTTCTTTGATCTTCTGCATGGTCAGTGATTGGAGGAATGTATACATTTGTAATCTGGAACTCCTCATTTCGGTTGTAGTTATTAAAGGAGTGTGTCTCCGTGGTGTTATCGTTTGGGGCCCGGTATGATTCGATTGTTTTTATGTTGCATGCCAGACTTTATCAGACCTTATGATTCCTCCTCTTGAGATGGTATCCTGACTGGTTCGGATGACAGTTCAATTTGTCTAGATGAAATTAAAATTCTTGAAGGTTGGAAAGTAATCTGGTTTAAAGTTTTTTTCCTGAATGATAAAAATGTCAATATCACCTTCTTCTGCTAACTTTGCCAGTTCGGCGCTTTTTTCGGTGTTGAGTCCATTGGGGTTCCATTGAATAATTCTGAGTTCAAAACTTGTCTGTAACTGAGTTCACGACAGTTGGGGTGGTTGTGTTTGTGTTCCGGTAGGCGCATTTCGACGCATGTGTTGGGAATGTTGGGGTATAAGGGGGAGCGATTTGGATAGGGAATGGTACAGAGCAGGCCGGGCTAGCCCAAGCGTGGTTGTGGGAAAGACGTCGAATTTCTGGGTTTGATAGGCCACTGCATTTTCTATGTATCCATTTGGCTCAAGTGGTGCATCGGATTGAGTAATCCCGGTTGGTCACGTTCCTGTTGCATATTGTACCTCTCATCAGGTCCAAGGTTGATATCGACGTCCCCGGCCATTATTAGCAGAAAACTCAAGATCTGCCGGTTCAGCTGAGCCTCCGGACAAAAGCCCGGTCGCCTCTGTTCCTGTCTGAATCCAGGGGTTGATTGATGTTTCACCCGGAGCTGTACTTGTTCCGGGGGTCTGCAGCACCGTGTAGAGTAGAGGTCCCAATAATGACTGGTCTCTCCCACAGACATGCAAAGCACCATGGATGAGTACAAGGAGTGGCTGGGAGAAGACAGTGTGGACTCAGAGACACAGGCCAGTTTTGACAAAGCGCATCACGTCCTCAAGGACATTCAGCAGTTTGAAGACCAGCTGGTGAGATCTTGAATATCACACTCATCTTTAGCTATGTATAATCTCTCCCTTTTCTTTATAATCTAACTTTCTGTCTTTGCTTGTAGTTTTCTTGTGTTGTTTCCCGAATAATAGTTACAGGGTAGCCCAAAAGGAGCATGCAATGTAAACATGTTTCATTGTACAATCATGGCCAAAACAAGGCCATCTGAGACCACTCTCGTGCGAGGGTTCTAGATGTTGATGCCCTCCAGAATAATAGAGTCGCGAAAAGTGTCATAGACTTGCATTTAAATAAGTTGCCATAAATTTAAAGGTCCCCATTTATTGTTTTTTTTACTGACATTTATTGTATTGAATATCAAATAATACAAGTGAATTGAGGGAGATTGCGGTTTTTAACAAAGATTTTTTTTACATTGGCCATTTTGTCAGGTACACACTCACATAATACATATTGTTGCTGTTGCCAAAAGAATAGGTAACTCTACTAGGCACTGCTTTACAGGATGAGAAATAGAAATTTGAGTTTACTCATTTTTCTTGCAACCTAGATTATGCCTGCTAATCTGGATTTTTTTCCTAACTGAAAGTGGTCATTTTCAGATAAGCACCTCGGGTAGTGAACAGCTAAAAAGTTACCAGGACTTGATAACACATGAGCAGAGGAAGAAGGAACCTGCGCGTGTTGTATGTGCCTTTGAGCGGGCCCTGAAGGATCACTGTCTGGTGGCTGAGCTCTGGCAACAATACACAGCTTATCTGGTAAGTTATGACTCGTCTCTAAGGGGTCATGCACAGCTTATCTGGTAAGTTATTTCTCCTTTCAAAGGAGTTACTTTCTCTGAAGCGTTCTCAACTTGTTAAAGCTTCCTGCAATGTTTGCTTTTTATCACTGTTTTAAAAAAGTGTTTTTAATGGTATGTTTTTTTAAGCATGATGAATTGTTTTGATATTTGAAATATATTTGTCCCCTGGCCTCCCTTGCTAGATCTCAGGGGTAGATAAATACTGGTTTATTCATGCCATTTGAGCTCAGGACAGAGACATTGGGGAAGATCTTTTGTGTAGCCTCAGTTGCTTCTTTGGGAATGGCTGAGGCTGATGACAAGGTACAAAATTGTGCTGTAGGCAGATTTTCACATTCCCATTTGAGAGAGGTGGGCGCCTAACTTGAGGGTTGTCTGGAGTGAGCTGATTTTTAGCTCTCGGATGATCCTGAAAAAATTTGATTGTTTTGTTCTCAGGACAAGCTTAACTCTGGACAGCAGATCAAGTCGGGTTATGAGCGAGCCCTCCGCAACTGTCCGTGGTCCTCTCAGCTGTGGGTCAACTACTTGCTAGCCCTTGAGAGACAAGGCACAGAGTTTGTTAAGATGAAAGGTTGCTGCTTCTTTTCTCTGTGTACTTCTTTTTTCTTTTTCTTTCCTGTTTCGTTTTGTCCGAAGTCAAGACGGTTTGACTTTTGACAATTTCAGTTTATATAGTGCGCTAGGGGGGGGGGGGTGTGTGTGTATGTATGTGTGTGTGTGGGTTGGGGGGGCGGGGGGGCGGGCGTGTTGTCTGTGTTGTGACATAGAATTATTGTAGACTACAAAGTTATAGTATAATAGTAGGTTATTTCAGCAGGCGAGGATCTGATTTATGTTAGCCTTAAAAAATGTTGATTGTTTAAAGGCAATTTTGTTGAGGATAAAAGTGAAAATGTTCTATTTTTGAATTGAAAGAAAGTACATGTGAAACAAGCCATTGGTTCGTAATATTTACTGCCTATACTGATATGTTCATGATACCAAAGAAGAGATGGTTTCATTACAGCAATGTGAAGGTTATCTTTTTTTTTTTTCAGATTAGATTTTTCCATCTTTCACCCTTCAAAAGAATTTGGGTTAGGTCATCTGTTAAAGTACTTTTTATACATTTCCAGAGGTGGCAGACAAAGCCCTGCAGGTAGGTTTCTCTGAGGCTTCAGACTACCTGTCGATGTGGTCAGCTTATTGCGACTACCTCAAGCGCAGGATCGACTGGTCTCAAGGTAAGTTTACCATGATATTGTAATCAATGTGGTTTTTGTATTGGTCATGCTGATACCATGTTTTGAACGTTTGGAAGGATGTGTGAGCCAGTCTGAGGAAACCAGGAGTATGTCACTAAACCTCGAACCTTGATATCTGCAAAAACAGTGGGTGTAGTCAGTTGTGGTTGATTTTGAGTTATACATACCACACGGCTGTTAGAAAGCGGTACTTTAGTTCGCAGGCAGCCAGCGCGTCGCACTTTGTAATCTGACCCGGGTCACCGGGTCATGAACTCGTGGCCAGGGGAATTCCCCGTGTCCCGCTAACAGCATTGTTCATTTCATTTTTAGGACAATTAAACTCGCAAAATACGCTGATCGGTGACTTTATCGTCATTTTATTTTGCCTGTTTGGAACAAGGGAGAACTTCTTTACTTACTGAGAAAGATGCAAAATTGTATGAAATAACGATAAATATATATAGCGCTCGAAAAATGGCTCATATTTTACCATTGCCCTTTGGCGTGAATATTTTTAAATCTAAATTCCAATCAAACAAAACTTAATCAACCCTTCAATTTCACATAAAATACACCAGAAATGGTCAAATATCAAAACTCACTTTGCTGTTTTTGAGGGAAGTCCATGGTTGTGGAGTAGTGAAGAGTTGATTGCAGTATCACCTTTTTTTTCTTTGTCGGAGGCACGTTGGATAATAGTTTTGGATTTGACATGACGGGGTAAGATTGCATGACAACTTTCAGCTGTTGTTCGATATTACGTATCCCAGCTCCTTTTCTCTCTAGCTTTGCCACAGAAGCATGGATAAGTACACCACCCTGTTTCCCATGTTAAGCCAAACCAAACCCATATGCTTGTATCCTCGGGATGCAGTGGTTTTCGAGAATGTGGTATTTTGGAAGTACCTTTTCACTAAAATGTCTCCTGTAGAATGACATGTAAGTTTTGATGCATGTTGTCAAAGTGTGGTAGTCCGTCTTTTGACACTGGTTGGCCGTGTGAGATGTGAATGTGAATGTCCCGAAGCGCGTTGTTTAAATGATTGAATTTTTCTATGAGTGTAAGCGGTGTCAATTATGTTTTGGTCGTGGGTGTTTTCTACTGTTTCTTTTACAATAAATGCCGTGAGGTCTTTATAAACGCGACTCATGATGTATTTGTGGCAGTGATTGCCAATGAAAGAGCGGCCGTGATATGCCTGCTGTGTGATGTTGTGCGAGTCAAGTATGCTGTCTAAATGAGAACAGATAGGGCCAGTCCTAGGGTTAGGGGGTTCGTGCTCTAACTCCGACAACCTGTCTTCTTTCTCCGTCTGTTGTTTTTGAAAGTTAATTTTCTCCTCTTCAGAGTCAGAAAGTACCACGCAACCTTCTAAATGTCTAACCTCCCCATTTAGTTCCTCCCCACAACTCCATATGTCTTATCTTGTCCACGCAAGCTTTACAGATGGTTTTTTAATGTACTGTCTGTGAGTCCATTGTAAGGCTAACACCTAAGGCAAACAAAGTGTCCGATGCAAATTTAGAACACTGCAGGGGTCGCCTTTTCTGTGCCTTCTGCTTGACTGACAGTGTTCTGCCACCACAAGTTCTGAAACGTTCGTGCAGCTTTTGAAAAAGCGAATCCTCTGTATGTTTCTCTATTTCTTAACTGGGCTAAAATATTCCAAAAAAGCGATGAGAAGTGTTGGAAAAATAACGCGATATTTAAGAAGAAAAATGAAAGATCACATGCGAGTGAATCACGGGAGGGGGTACCCTTTTTTTTAAAAATGATATAAAATAACACATTCGCTTCCCACAAACAACATTTGCTCACACGGTTCAAGTATTGCTGTCTCAAGTGAAGCAGAGAAATCTGAGTGAAAAATCTGAGTTTGGCTTTTGAGATAATAAACTCCAAAATGGAATATAATTTAAAATGCAACATTAAAAGAACAAAACACTTGTACTGCAAAATGCGTAACTGCTATAACACCAGTGAGATTTCCGGAGCGAAAGTGGGATCGTCTTGTTAGTCTTAAGATGATCTTTAAAATGAGATGATAAACAGGCTTCTAGGTTTATCAGATCGGGAGAAATAACGAGGGAAAGTGATACGAAAATTACCAGAACTGAGTTATGCAGGCACAGCGGCGGGCATCGCTATCGTCACAGTTGTTAAGCATGGGAGTGGCCGACTGACACTGATTTATTACCTTCGCGCGGGAGGTCAGACTGGGGCTCGGCCACCAACTAAAGTACCACTTTCAGTCGCATTTTAACAGCCGTGACCGGGGGGTTTCCCTACCACTTTAGAAAATAATTCAAGATCTGTTTCTTGTAAAAGCCACTTTAAAATATCTTTTCTCAATTTGTTTTCTATTTGCAATTATGATGTATCATTGAACGCGTTTTTCTCAGTTTTTACTTTTCCACATTTTGTTGCTTCAAACTGCAATATATCTCATTTTCTAGAAAAAAAATAATTGAAAAATTTAAAGTGCAAATAATCAGGAAGATCTCAGCTTACATTACAGAAAAGAGCAAAAACTCAAAATGGCACAGAGGCGACATTCCTGATTTCCTCAGACCGACTCACATATGTTCAGCTGTGCCGGAATATAGACAAACACAAAATAAGACTTCAAGATTAGGTCTATTTTAGCTAGACAAACAAAAAATAAGACTTCAAGATTAGGTCTATTTTAGCCTGAACAGATCCCTTGAAACACCTAACATGGGATTCTCGCAAAATATTCATGAAATGCTAAAAATTGTGTCAAAGCGAAGGAGAGGTAGTTTAATATACATTTATCTAACTTTTCCGAATCAAAATTAACCTGTTCGGATTCGTAAGAGGTTGCATTAGTAGTAATGCTTCATGCACTCTGCGATCTGACCGGACGCTGGGACTGTTCACTCGGGGACGGGGTGAGTTTCACTGGACACTCCCATCATCCACTTAGGGTTATAGAGTTTTAAAAATACAATGTTCTCTTTTTTTTTCCTCCCCAGACCACACAGAACAGCTGGAAACTTTCCGGCTGACAATGGAGGCAGCTGTGGACTTTATGTTTGAGAGTGAGTTTGAAGTTTGTTGTCCCCCCAGAAGTTCATCATCTGGTTTCTGTGTCATTCGTCCTGGTGTCTTTTGCTACATCAGCAATATAAAATACTCCACCAAAAAAGTACTTCAACCAGCAAATTTAGCTTGCTGGCACATACTTTTGGGGGTCTACAAAGTTCTCATTAAAGATTTTTAGCGTTCCTTTCTTGGAATGTCAAAAGAACATCTTCCATAATTTCATAACATTTGCAGCAGAAAGGCAGTATTACAGTCATCATGATGCTAAAGGTTTATATGTCAGGATGTGGGTATTGGCAGCTGAGGCTCAATTTTTCTCGTACTGATGGGAAATGCACATATTTAACTCTAAGCATGAGTGATTCTTGCCGAAAAATCTACCATTTAGGTCTGTTTTGCTCAAGAAAGATTTGAATATGAAAGTTGAGAGAAATGAGCTTTATATTGATCCAGCGGTTGCAAAAGGATTTTGTCATTCTTATTTCCCCCCACCCCACCCCCTACATGTTCACAGACTACGGCAAAGATGGAGATCCAGAGGGCAGGTTGCGTCAATTCTGGGCATACATTGAGGTGAGAGAAAAAAAGTTAATGGTTTTTACAAAAGATACTTCAGAAGCTTAAATTAAAATTTTGGGCTTAGTACATCTTAACAGCTCAGCTGGTCAACAGTATGTGAGGCGCTCTGACAAGATGAGTTACATCTCGCAATCCATGAATGGAAATATCAGCTGAAAATCAACACAGAGATCATATTTATAGATTTAAAACCAATGCCATTCTCTTCAAGCTTAACATGTCTTTTATCATTTCATACTAATAAATTGTAAAAACTCAACCTATAAATTTGACGCATCTGTTTCCATCATGCTAAAATCCGAGAAGTAACTCATTTTATCAGCAGGCCTCACACATGTGCATTCTGCCTATTGCACCTTGTCATGAATCTATATAACTATGACCAGTTCCCATCTGTTGAGCTTGCAGTAGCTGTCAAACTGGTTATGGTTGGGATGTTGCTTCATTCATTGTTTCATGAATTCGACAAAAAAAAATTGTTTCGCACCATTGCAAGGGCAGTTTTTACCCATTCATTTGAAATGCCTTCTTGTGTGATTGGTGGGCGTTCTGTTGTGGTTTTGCTCCTTTCCTTTCAAAGATCTATCATCCTTGTCTCTCCTCCTTGACCTTCTTTGTATGTTACTCTCTAGGAACAACTCTAATCTTTTATGTTCATATGACCTGTTTGTATTGCAAGTACCATAAAACTGACCAAAACAGAAACTAAAACCAGATGCCTTCCACCCTTTGACAATCTGTCAGGATTTTTGTTTTCTGGAGTAAACTGCTTCAAAAGTGAATGAAAAACATGCGATGTGTGGTGCATTTATATGTTTTCAGGCCAAGTTCTGTAAGAACCAGGAGAGGTCGCGGGAGATCTGGAACCAGCTGATGCAGGAGGGCCATGGGGCGGAGGCAGGCATGTGGCTACAGTACTACCAGCTGGAGAGGTCTGTTTGAAATGTGTGCATGTATAATATGGGTGGAAATGTAGTATGTGTGCATGTGTAGTGTATGCATAGTATGGGAGAGACCGAGGGAGAATGAAAGAGATTATAATTGTATCTATAGAAATGTTTGTTATATTTTCAGTGATTGTGTTCTAATTCATAAAGGGGTATTTGTATTGTGTGGTTGTGCAGGTGTCCAACAGTGATCATAACACGTGTTCTTTAAGAATGTTTCCCATTACGGGTGATGTTGGGGTAAAGTGGCAATGGTAGGCCCCACCAGTTGTTTTTTAAACTAGCCCCTTGTTGTTATTCCTAGTACTACCTGACAGTGTTCATGACAATTTACTTCTCTTTTACTTTGACAACTGGTTGGGAATGGTGAGGCCTGTGAGGCTACTTGTGGTTCCTGGAGCCTGTGAAAGTATTCTTTATTACACTTGCTACTGGCTTGTGTAGGTACAGGGTGATCCCAAAAAAACTGTACAACTTCTTTTGTTAATATTTTCCTCCACACTGAAGTTTTGCGTTTCAAATTTGTACACAACAATTTGGAAGTCAAAAGGAATTTGTTTGATATTCACTAGTTCACATTAGACTTACCACTAAAAATCTCAACGATTGCACCTTGCAAACTACAGTAGTCTAACAGGCCAACAGAAGTTTGCAGATAGTTTTTCTCAAGTTTCCTTTTCCTGCTGAGATCATGGTTACTCTCCTCAAACTCATTTCATAAGTTGCGCACAAGGTACGGAAAAAATGTTAAAGGATCCTTAAGGCTTTTTTTATGTCAAGGGTGGAAATGGTCCATCACTTAGGACATATGGAGAACCAGAACTAAAAATATCCCAGATAAAACAACCACTTCTGGTCAAACACACACTGCAACCCTATCTTCAAACAGTACACACCAGAGGTGACTCTATCCCGAAGCCTCCATTTTCTCTGCGGAGGTCACTGCCATTGACATGGCACTGGACTCCGTAGAAAATTCTCCTAATAAATCTTTCCTTATCCTTTCTGACTCTCTATCTTGCATCCACTCACTTACAAACAACACAGTCCAACACCCAAAAATAGTTAGGCTACCACAAAAAAATACACACCTTGACTGAAACCGGGAAAAGCATCGTGTTCGCATGGATACTTACCCTTATGGGCATCCGAGGAAACGAGCAGGTAGATAACCTGAGGAAGAAATCCTTATCCCTTCTGTTGGGATCAATGACGAACACTCTCCCACAGATTGACTTTATAAATAAAGTCAAAAAGTACAAGTCCAGTCTTTTTTTTTTTATAGTAGAGGGTTTTACGGCGCTCGCAACTGCATAAGGTCATATGAGCGCCAAGCTCCAGTCTTTGGGAGAGCCATTGGAAAAAACAAACAAATAACAAACTTCACAACATTAGACCCAAACTGGGACCGCGAAATCCTTCGGGCCTCTCCAGAAGAGACGAAGTCATTTTTACTGAATTACACATCGGACACATGGCCCTAACACAAAAATACCTCCTTCTGGGAGATGAGAAGCCGTTCTGTGTCGGATGCGACACAGATTGTACCATTAGACACATTTTAACCGAATGTCTAGACTTCGGAGAGACCCCGAAGGAAATATTTTAAATGCAGAAAATTGCTATATTTTTTCCGTCGTTCCGTCATTGTTCCCAGCAGAATTTTAGATTTTATGAAGGCCATTGGCCTTTATGGAAAGTTATAAAACAGATTGTTTGAAATTTTTAAGTGTTATTTATAAAGTTGTTTTAAATTTACATTTAAAATCTATTTACACTCAATTTTTAGCGTTTTAACAATTTTAATTAGAAATATTGACCAAAATCAGGCCGAGCAGTTGAATAAAAACCCACTTTTTTCGCACTCTAATATGACCTTATGCAGTTGCGAGCGCCGTAAAACCCCATACTAAACTAAAACACACTGTTTGCACCCCTTAAAACGTCACCAGGGTACAGAATTCAGTAGATGAGCCCCATGAAATGTCTGCCCGTAGACGGTGTCTGCAGCAATGACTTTCCTACATCTCAGTGGTCTGCATTATCAAGGCTGATCTTCATCTACGACTGTACCATTTTCCTGTTCGCGAGGCTATCAGTGGATGGCAATGTATTCATGATTCCTCGATCGTCTTGAAAAACGTGAACATTTCCTCTAAAACATTTGGTTCCTTGGCAAAGCCCATATTCACCTTTTAGGTTATATCAACTCCACAAATGATGTCTATTTGGACAACCTCACCCCCCCCCCCCGAATTGTCTCTAGAAACCGCTCCATACTGTAAGGTGTATAGTGTGTGTGGCTTTAAGTACTCATGGTTGAGTGGATCCTTGTGTTTGCCACCACTGAATTTTACGAACGGCGCGTTAAAATGTGTCGAGTCCAAAGGAGGCATTGGTTCATGGAAATCCTGAATTTAAAAAATATCTTTTTAACTCTGTAGGAGAAAAGAAATATTGTTTAAAGTTACAGGGATGGAAAGATTAGATTTTAAAAATAAAAGGAAAGGAAAAAACAAACCAATCATTTCAGGGCTTTCCTTACAAGATTTTAAAAAATTGGTGCATTTTGTATTTATAGGTAGTTTTTAGAAAAGCCATTTGCGTGTTCGAAAATAAGTTTCTTCTTTGTGAATTTTATGTCAAACAAATTCCTTTTAAATTAATTATATATGTTCCAAATTACAACAATCTCGTACAAATTTTGTGCGAGATTTTTGTAAAAAGTTGTACAGTGTACTTGTCCGATCTGAGTTATAGTAAATATGTATGCTGTGTTGAAGTTGGGATTTTTTAAAAAAATTTTATTTTGATGTAACTCTCCCCTCAGAATGTTTGGTGACAACAAGCATTGCCGGAAAATCCTGCAGAGGGCACTCAACTCGGTGACTGATTGGCCGGAATCGATCACTCAAGCGTACATCAACTTTGAGAGAGAAGAAGGTGAATGATTCGTACGGGCATTGGAGGTTGTAGTTGAAAGGGTATCATTTCTTTGAAATTAATCAATAATTCTTGAGGACAAAAGTTTGAAGATTACTAAGAAGCCTACTGGTATTTTTCAGTCTTGTCTTTTCAGGCAGTTCTCATGATATGAATAGTTGGAGGGTGCCACTAATTAGTATATGAGCTTTTGCCAATAGGTGGGTACCTAAAATGTGACAGAGGGTTGATGATAAAGTTTTTAATATTTCGTTTTTTACTTGAATTTTTCTATTAATGTATATCTCCTCCTACAAAAACATGTATTTACAGACCTACAGATGACATGCTAAGCTGTGTAACTGGCGTTACGTAACGTCAAGTCAAATTCTTTCTGATATAACTATGATGACATATTTGATTTTTTAGCCCTCCTGGAAAATGGGTATGTCGCGATATTCGTCCTTTTTCCCCAAGACGGCAGTATTGGCAAATGTTCATATCCATCGGTATTATGTAATGATAATTACACTTATATAGCACATTTCCATTCTCCACAATATGCTATATATACGCTGTACAACTATTATTACCCCTGTAGACCCAAGAACGCGGCCCAGAAACTTTCTCAGCTTCTCGGGTACCCGCATGTAAAGTGCCTTTCCCAAGAACACAATGTAGGACCACTGATATGACCCGAACTCAGTCTGAGATCCTAACCACTAGGCCACTGATTCTTGTGCTGTTTGTGTACATTTGTTTTGCCTATTATTACCTCCGACAGAAGTGTTTTATTGTTGTTGTGCTTCTCTTGGACTCAAGTGATCTGACTTTGCATTTCCTCAGGTGACCTCGAGCAGTTTGATGTAGCCCTGGCTCGCAGCCAGGCACAGCTCAGTCGGATCGAAGAACGCAGGGCCAAGGTTTGTCATCTTTGTTTTATTTTTTTAAAAGTCGGGCATGAATAACTCAAACATGTCGAGGATTGACAAATGTGTCCAGAACTTCCATTATTTGAGGTAACCCATTGCACCGAGGCTACAAGTATACCCGTTGCTGCCACACGCTTCCTGCTACAACTGTCTTAGCAAAACACCATTCCTTCAATTCCATCCGAACCACTTATTCAGGTTTCTATTGAAAATAATAGGTCTCTTGTAGCTTGTAAAAACTTTTGTTAGCTTGTTTTAATCCAGTGTCTCACCAAGTACGAGTTATTTTGTTTTGTTTTGTCACCTCAAATCATGGCAAGAAAGCAAGCACTGAAATCTTCATGGACGAGAAGAATAAAAAGCAGTCACGAAAAACAACAGTGCCACGGCTTTTTTTGTGTTTGTTAAAATACATGAGCCATGTTTTTAGTTTTGTCTGAGACATAAGCGGCAAAGAAAGTGATAATAAACGTAAATCTAGAAAACCAAGGCGAGCAGATTGATTTTAGGGCCTTGAAAACTTCTAAGAAAAGCTAGATCTAGACCATAGATTTACTATAAGTTGCTATGGGTAAATCGAGTGCTGATGAGTTGCAATCGGACGAAGAATATATTGTTTTCTCGGCTCTTTCCTTCATCTTTCTCTCTAATATTATTAAAAGAACATTTAAAGTGAAATCTAGGCGAAATTTCATTTTGATACCTTAACTAGTTTGGGCACTACGCGTGTCTAAGGTTAGTGTGTCGGGTTCAGACCGATGATTTCCCCCGGCTCACGGTAAGCCAGGTGGACACAAGTGTACTGCTGCGGCGACACAAGGTGAATTGGGTTAACCAATAACAAAAAATAAAAGAGGTATCAGTTGAGGAATGGCAAATCGTATGAGTTTTCTGTGATTTTGAGATTTACATGTTCAAGTTATCTGTGCTGGACTGTAAAATGATTTTCTTGTCTCAGAGTGTCTTGACATCATCTACATTTCATTTCTGGCCCAGCAAAATGGCTTAACTCAGAGTTCTGTCAAAATGCTACGAGCCTTTTATTTTGTTTGGTGGTGCTATATCTCTCTTTTGGTAAAATCAAAACAAAAATAATGCACTGGCAGTCACAAAAGTAACATGCATGACAAGTTTTACCATTATTAGATGATAGATAATAATAATAATAATAATAATAATAGATAGCATTTGTATAGCGCATATCCCCGCTCAACAGCAGGCTCTATGCGCTTTACACTATATTATTACCCCAGCAGACCATTGAACACTCCGAAACATTCTCAGCTTCCCGGGAAGCATACAGTGCAAGCAGCCGATTAAGCGCTCAAACACTAACAAACTGACAAGATCTTTCGCTGTCTATAGCCGGGTACCCATTCCCACCTGGGTGAAATGAGGAAAATTCGTGTAAAGTGCCTTTCCCAAGGACACAACGTCGGGTCCCTGACCGGATTCGAACCCACGACCTTACGGTTGCGAGTCCGAGAGCCTAACCACTAGACCACCGACGCCACAAGATAGTCTAGTTAAACAATTTTTCCCCCTTATCTCAAAAGTAGCATAAATCAGATGTGCCATTTTACTAGCACAGTGATGATTTGTTATGAAGAACCTTCAAGCATTTTACTATCTCATGTTATCTCTCTGTGATCTTGACGACAATTGTTGCCTATAAATGTATTTCTTTTTTTGACTGAAAAAAAAAAAATCCCTGTGTGTCATTTTGAGTGAAGACAGTGGAGTAATGATAGAGGGATTTTTAGGGAGGATTCTAAAGAAAACTTATTTTTTTGTCATGCGGTGGTCGACAAATCTGTGATTGCATATATGTTTATTTTAAATCTGCTCTTCAAGATGATGATGATAATCCGAATCCTGCTTTCTATACAGGCGGCAGAGAAAGATGCAGTTATTCAGGACCACAAGAAAAAGGAGCGGACTGACAGAAAAGCTCAGAAGAAACAACAACAGCCTGACACAAACTCAACTCAGCAGAGCAGCCAAAATGCTGGTAACAAACCAGGCAAGAGAAAGGTAGGAGTCAGTCTTTGTATCTCTCGACTTATCAACACATAAATATTCCAGCTTTGTAGTGATCAGGAAGTGTGTTCCTTTATTTGAGTTTGTTCATGTTAGTTTGTTGTTTTTATTTTTATATACGGGTGGGATTTGTTTGGCTTTTACGCTTTCACTGTGGAGGGTGTCACTTGTAAGGTCTACATTTTTTCTCTCCATTTTGTTCCTGTCTATTAATCTTGCCTTTATATTTGTTTTAATTTGTTTAGTTGTGTCATTGTGCTTTTTAAAAGAAATAATAAAATGACCCTTGACAAACTCTTAAAGTGAATATTATTTTACGAATTTTATTTGTCTCAGGAGGTAGATATGAGAGGTGGGAGTTGGCTAAGCTTAAGCTGAATGTTTGTTATTTAACTGAGTCTACATGATGTGATACCCACCTGGATTGGGGGCTCTCGTGGCCTAGAGGTTAAGGTGTTGGCCTCTCATTCAAAGGTCCCGGGTTCGAATCCGGGTTGTGACCGAACAATTTCTTCTCTAAATTTGTCTCCTTTCTCCTCATTTCCTGCTGTCTAGCAATGTTCTGTCGTCTGCTTTCGTCTCCTCTTTCTGCCCCCACCCCCTCACCTCCTTTGACCCTTCCTCTGGGCTCCTGATTCTTTCTGCAGCCTTTCTACTGCTACTCCTTCGCTTCTTCTTACTGCTGTCTTTCAGCCACACCCCTGATCTTCTGGTAGGAAAGATCAACACCTAGCCTTCTCGGACAAGGGCGAAAAATCTCAGAGGGCCCGTGTGCAAGTTGCACACGTTAAAGATCCCTTGGTGGTCTAAAATCGATAAGAATAGGCTTCGGCCGCCACCCAGGCAAAATTCAAAATTTCCTGCCTACTGAAAATATTAGGTGTGTCCCGCGCTCTCATATGACCTTATGCAGTTGCGAGCCCCGTAAAACACTTTACAAAAAAAACTAACCACCTGGATTCTTGTTAAGATAAATGTGTCATAGTTCCTGTCTATTATAAACAGCCTGAAAAGCATTGCTTCATGTTGTTATCTTCTCTTAATTATAGCTTTACAATGTTTTTCTGCTATCAAGAGATGATAATTGCTGCAACTGGTAGTGTGTAATGTCACACTCATATATGGTTAATGCACAAGCCATTGTTTAATATTGAGTTCACTTTCCAGTGACTTTAGTATATTTTGTTTCTGAAAGTGGCAGAATTTTTTTTTTCAGCTTTGACATTTTAATGGGTAGACTAGAAAGATTACTTTATCCCTTGGTCTTTATTGCAAATAAATCTATAACTGCCTCCAAATTAACTCAAACATCTTTTACGGGTGAAATGATGCTCACTTCTTCTACATTGTGTTTGCAGTTGGAGCAGGGTGCTGCTGGAGATTTCAACGAAGCTGCTGAGTCTGTCAACAAGAGAGGGGAACCACCAAGCAAAAAAGCTAAGCCAGGTAAACCGGTTTACTCAATGGTCTTTGCTTCTGAACAACTGACTTCTTCTCTCTTTTCAGCTCGTGCCTGTCTCGTGAAAATTTCATCTGCTTATCTCGTTGAGACTGAGTGCTTTGGTTCCTGATGTTTACCTTACCCCGAAATCTAGCTAAGCAGGGTGTTTAGGCACTTTTCTGATCTGTTTGTGTTGCAAGTGCCTTAAACTTTAACTAAAACTAAACAGTGAGGTGTGGAAAAATGTTCAGAAGACTCCCCAAATGAAGCAGAGGTAAAAGTGAGCGTTTTAAAAAATCCATTGTATTCTTTGTCTTCAAAAGACCTATATGAACAATTTACAATCTAACATCAAGCGATGTGTCTTCCTTTAGGATAATTATCCAATAAGGTATGACTAAAATTTCAACTAATATTTTTCTCCACCAAGACATACGAGCTTGATTTTGGTACATGGGCTATGAAATGTTTCAACAAAGTGTTTATTTCAACTTCTGCATTGTTTAAATGGAAGAGAAAATTGGTGTAGAAATTACTAAATTCTGTTTGTGAAAACTTGTCCCTTTCCTTACAGTTGTCTTGAAAAGTAATGTTAATACAGCCAGTCAGGTATGGCTGACATAGTGCAAGCACAACTGTTGTAGCAGCCAACCCCTGAGACTGAAATCATCCAAATGTTGTCAATAGGCGAGGGGTAAAGCATTTTAGTTTAGTAAGAGTTTTACAGCACTCGCAACTGCGTAAGGTCTTTCATGAGCGCTAAAGCATTTACGATCACTTACTATCATTTACAATCGCTTACAATCTAACAGAGGCAGTGGAGAAGTCGGACGCCAGCGAGAACCATGGGGAGACAGTCCAGCATGACCCGTCCAAGGACAACGTCACAGTGTTTATCTCCAACCTGGACTTCAGCCTGGAGGTGGACAGACTGAAGGAAATCTTCCACAAGGTTTGCCTCTCTCTTATGTTTAGCGAGTTTGATTCTTTTTCCAACAAGTGTGATCAGCAGCCACAGTGAACTTCTTTTTGTGTGTGTGTCAGAATTTTGTCAGAATTTGGTAGGTCCTATATTAAGGAAGCATAATGTGTATGTTAAATGATTGTTGTTAAGTGAATGGGACGGTATGTTTGAAAAGTGTCATTGCGTAAGCTGTTGAAATGCTATGTTATTGTGAAGTTCCTAGAGCCACAAGGGAGCAGGTGCTATAGAAGTGATCTTTATTATTATTAATAGTAATAGTAGTATTTTTCTCTCCATCATGTCATTCCTTGGGGGTGCTGTTCCTTCAGTTGGTATCAGGCTGGGCTACAGTGCAGATGATCTTTGTTCAAATCTGTCATCTCGGTTATTCGCAGCCGCGAATGCCGTGTATCTTTTCGCAAACTACCACAAATTTTACCAAAAATGTATTTTTCAGAAACATTTTCCTTCTTTTGAGCCGTTTTTTAAACTCAAATTTTGCATCAGGCCTTTGCAAGTCTGCCAGATTTGTTCCCCTTTAGTTTGAACTTCTTTCACAGTCTAGATCTCGATTCTAATCCTATTTATGCAACTACTATTTTTTTTACGGCTGACACTGGTACACCGTTGCATGGTGTGCCGGAAGTATGTTAGTTTTACTGATTTTAGTTTTGGTACCGTAGCACTTCTCATATGACTTTTAAGTTTTTGCATCACAGCTTCATTTGTGACCGTCTTTCCAGCTGATTCTGCCTAATCTGCGAAAGAAACACATTTCCTGAGCTTCATTCTTGTTTTCTAAATTTTGGTACATTGTCCAAGTTTCGGCGTACGGCACGATTGGAATGATGTAGCAGTTCACCAGCCTTAGTTTCAGTTCCATTGTGATGCTTCTTGATAAACTATTCATTTGTAAAGATGATGTATGTATGTATATATATAATTTAGCAAAACTTGATAGTTTTTTGCATAATTTCTGATTATTTTCCCTTATCACTCTTTGTTAAAATTAACAGAATCGCATAATTTCACATTTTTGGGCCCAGTTTGCATAATTTCAGAAATTTTTTTTGCATATAACCGCGGGGACTGATATAGCTTTTTAATATTTTTTAAATAAAAGAATTTATGAATTTTCAAAATAACCCCAAAAATGCCAGTCTTTTTTCAGTACGTCTGTTTCATTGTAAACAACAATTGTTCGTGTGGATTCTGAATGCAGTGCATTTTGCAAATTTCTGCGGGGACAGTCTAATGCTCTTAGGCTGTTCTTGAACTCGGGTTGTTTGAGGAGTTTTTTAAGGTGTTCTTTTTATGTAGCTTGGTCCTATTGGAGAGGGACATTCAATTCGGAGGTCCCTTTCTTTGGAATAGCTTTTGCAGAATTTAAAACCCACTTAATTGTGAATTACAAAATCGGATTAATCTAATGTGTGCTGCTATTAACCTTCTTGATTGTCCTGAAAAAACTGAATGTTACCAGTTTTATATAAGTTTATCCCTTTTTAAAAAAGGTTTACTAAGTACCGATATACTGAAGGCTATTCCACCTTTGAAGCAGACAGTTATGTCCTCCGATGTTTCAAAACTAGAAACTTCTCTTTACCAGTACCTCCTATTTAATCACTTTGCCTAAAACTAAATTAAACACCAAACGGTAGAAATGAATGATTCATGCAATAAATGTTCAGATTGATACGGATAAGATGAATTTACTGGGCTTGGTAGATTTTTTTTATGATTGTAAAAAAATAGAGCGATGCGACACCCCAGCCGAAAGGGCTTGCTTGCTGTATACCGTACTAAGAAGAGTTAACGAAGGGTTCTCTCATTGTTGGAATTCTTTGTTTGATTGAAAGATTTTACTTTAACTAAGTTTGTTAATTATTTGTTTTGTTTCTTTCCAGTGTGGAGAGATCACAGATATCCGTCTTGTGAGCAACTATAAAGGGAAGTCAAAGGGCTTTGGTTACGTAGAATTTTCAGACAGTGTAAGTTTTATCGAACAATCTTTACAAGACTTTGTAATTTAAGTCTTTTTTAATGTCAGACTTGTCGATTGTAGTCTATTCTTGATGTTTTGTAATCACTTTATAGTTTTAGTACACAACTAGGTCAATAGATCTAGTTTTTGCTGCAGAAAATACTTTTGTCAGACACTTTTTATTTGTAACAGCTCAGTGTTTACCAAGCTGCTGTCATCTCCCAGTGTACATTTTTTTTTTTGGTCATTTTTAAAAAATCCACCATCTGCCACTTGGAGCATTTCTGTTCTTTTTTTTTTCTTTCTCTTTTTTTCCTGATAACATGGTTGTAGTTATATGATGACTACAATAACATCCATGCTCTTCTTTTAAAGCAAATCAAGTCATTCTGTTGGTCTTTTTGAAAAAATCCTCTTTAATGTTTATGAAATCGTGATGTGATGCTGTTATTGTATTATACAATGGAAACCATATATAACAGGCCCGGCAATAACAGGGATCCGGTAATAACAAGGATTTTTAAAATCCCCGTTTTTTCCTACTCTTTGTTTCTATTAAAAGTTATCGGCAATAACAGGGCCTCATCGGAGCCCAACCGGTTATAGCAGGGACAAAGACTCGTTAACAATGTGAAGAGAGAGAGAGAGAGAGAGAGTAACACAGTGATGGAGCAAGCCCACGCAAGCCATGCCTCTGCAAGCACAGGCAGCGTGTGAAGCGAGAGAGGGCTGCGGTGTGCTGCAGACCTCGATCTAGCCAGAAACCTAGCAACACGCACGCGTAATGTGTCACCAACGATGTCAAGCGCAACATAAAATGCCTTTCAATTGACAAAAAATACGAAATAATCCAGGCTGTTGACAAAAATCAAGCTCCACTGGCAGAGATTTGTCGTCAGTTCAACTTTCCACAAGGGTCGATTCACACCATTATCAAGGATAGAGAGAAAAAAGTGGCAGCATCTCCAGTGGAAAGTTTGCTCTGGATCGAAAGAAGATGAGACTACCCGATGCAGATACTGTGGACCAAGCTTTTCTGATGTGGTTTAAGGAGGCAAGGAGAAAGTTGGTGCCAAAACCTCTGTTCGTGGATACCTGTTGCAAGGGAAACTACTCATGAATAAGTACAGCTGGATTAGTCCACAAATGCTTACATTCCTTGCATTTCTGATTTAACAGGGATCGGATATAACAGGAAATTTTTCTACTCCCACCATCCCTGTTATATCAGGTTTCCACTGGAATTTGATTTCCTTCTTGCACTTTACTGTTCAAGTCCAATCTAACAATTATACAATTTTCAAACACCTTTGTTCAGAATTCAGTTCTTCAAGCTTTGCGTTTGGACAGAGAGTTTATCGATGGCCGCCCAATGTTCGTGTCTCGATGCGAGGACAGATCCTCTGTCAAATCTGGTCCACAGTTCAAGGTAAGTTAGTCAAACTGTAACAAATCGGAGGCGTTTTATCGACCAGCTGAATATAGGAAGATGTCTGGTATTGTTGAACCATAAACCGAAAAAAATTTGATAAGACTCATGGACAATGTGACGTTGCTGATTTGAAATGGTCAGCTAACTAAGTAAAGGTCACTGTGGCTCAGAAATGAGAATGTCACTTAACCATTATTGCTTACATTTTTTGTTGAATTGTTCTCTTCAAAGGAATGCACAGGTCCATTGGTATCATGCTTGCTAATATTGCTAATATTGGGTTGGCCCTGGTTCGAATCCCCAATGAGGTGTTCTTGAAATTAGGCTCTCCACCAAACAGGCTGGGAACTATGGGATATACTCAGTAAGTTTGGAGGTTCTGCATCTTGATATTAATATTTTTCCAGTTTTGAAATGGACGGTCACTTTTAAAGTACTTTGATCAATTTTTTTAGATGGACTCCGTTTTTGGTTTCTTCTTGTAAAACGACTGCACATTCCATGTTTACTGTGAGGAGTATGAGTGTGCTGATGTCTTCCCCAGTATGCCACGAGGCTCGAGAAGAACAAACTCTTCATCAAAGGTTTGCCGTTCACCATCACACAAGAGGCCATTGAAACTATTTTCAAAGAGGTAGGTTTTAGGTTTTATTGGAGATATTTAGAGTAAGCCTACGTACTCCAATGCTCTGTGTTTCTACTGTTTTAATCTATCTATTCATGGAAAAATGTGGCTGTAATTTAATGACAACTGTAATTAAATGTCTCAGCAGCAACACAATTTTCTTTATTTATTTAATTTCAAATCATTTTCTTTGATTATGTTTGAACTAAAGCAAGTTTTTTTTTTTACATTGACGTCTTCCTCTTGTCTACATTTCAGCACGGCAAATTAAAAGATGTCAGAATGGTCACATACAGAAATGGACGGCCAAAAGGCATTGCTTACGTGGAGTATGAAAATGAGGTTAGTGTTGTGGGCATGGAATGTTTTTACCTTGTTGCTCACCAACTGCTGTTTGTCTTTAGCTCTGTGAGGTGTGTACTGTCCTTCAGAGGAATGTTAGTTTTGTGCTGTAATTGTCCAGTCCCTCTCTAGTTTCTGTGAATAGTTTGTTGTTTCAATGATGTCCAGTGATTGGTGGGTGCTCGGGTGTGGTTTGCTCTTTCTTTCCTATCAAACTTCTTTCGTACTGATCTCTCCTCTGTCTTTTTTGAGTTTGTTACTCGCTTGTAACACCTCTCTAATCTTAGGTACCACAGACTGAAATTTCAAAGTCCTCTGATTTCATAGTTAACTGCACCACCTTTTAGAATTTATTATTCTTAGCATTTTGATACCAAATTTATACATAGCTTCATTTTTTACAAAGTTATGAACATCTGAAGTTGCAGAAAAACACTATATTTTTTAAATTCCGAAATGTCTCCACTTTGAGATGTCATAACATTCTTAAATTTGAATGGACATTCACAAAAACTTGAAAACAAACACCCATGCACATAGAGAACAAGCCCACTTTTTTTCAGGGGTATCACTTAACCAGAAGATGGAAATTTATTGACGTAAACATGGCTTTTTGACCAAAATGGCTAGAGAAATACCCCGTGGAGGTTAAAGAACAAAATCACCACACGCGACCACCGGCTTCTCGGCTGCGCCCTGAGCAGCGCCGACGGGAAGGAGAAAGAATCTATGCGAAACTGGGCCGATAGTGGCTCTGCTTGCGAACTGATGGGGAGCGTCCAGTATTTATTTGCGTATAATGGCTGTGTTATTCTTGAAGAGGAATGAATGGGCTTTCTGCCGATATATTTCCGTAGTCAGTCCGATCACCGCTTCAAAAGAACAACGTAGAAAGTTTTCACTCGCCAATCTCTTCTATTAATTCTTTAAGGACAGTCTTTAGAAATATATCACCAGGAAGAGAGTTTTCTCATTTTGAAATATCGACGAATCAGGTTGCAGTATTTTATACCATATGCTCCCCGTTTCTGTTCAACCGAGATCGCTCTAAATCTAAAAATCAAATCACGAAACGCGCGGTCGCTGCAGTGAAAACCTCGATAGTGTTGTCTTTTATCACACAAGATTTTGCTTTCAAAAGAATCGTTGATTCAAATAAATAATACCACTAAATAGAGGAAAAGCTCCTCTTTCTTCTATATATATATCAAGTGTCTGTTTGTATACATGATCACACAGTGTTTTAGGAGGGTAAAAATATGAGTTTAGGTCTCCGGCCACGGGGGGCACAAGGCCAGTTTGCGGTACCTACTAATCTTCTGCACTTGTGTGACCTCATTGTGTTGCAAGTGTCTTAAATCTCTTACTTATACTAAAACAAAACGCTCTGAGCTTGCTTCCATGGACTCGTGGTGCTTGCCCACCTTGAGTTGTCACATGAGATAATGGGAAGTTTAGGAATGTGGTACTTCTAAGCGTTGTCATTCCTTTTACTTATAAACTTTTAAACCTTTGGGCATTAGCAATACCCTTGAAAGTTTATTGTAGTTTTATAGAATATCATTAGATTGTTCTGGCATGTGAGGAACTTATTTATTAATTGACAAGGTGTTGCCCTTTGTTTCCTGGGTAATCACCCACAGCTTGAATGCTTGGATTCTACTTTTTCTCGACCCATCCTTCTCCCCCCAACCTCTCTTATCCTGTCTCATGTCTGTATAAAGTGAAACTCGGAGATAACGAAGTTTTCAGGCCTGCCCTTCAATTTCGTTGAATCTGAGTGTTCATTATGTTGTGGCAATGTGAGCAACAAATTGTTTTGTCATATTGGGTCTAGCATGTGAGGCATTGTGGTGAATTCAGGCGCTCATCAAAATAGTGAAATCGAAGATGTAGACATTTTTCCTTAAGTTTGACCAAAAAAATTTCTAATTTTTGTTTTTGGGCTTAACACCTTTTATGTCCATTTTAAAATATATTTCTGTCTGGGTTTTAGTAGTTTTACTGAAAAATATTGATTAAAGGCACAACAAATGTAAATGTTCAGTTTCCAAGGACTCTCAAGCTTTGGAAATCATCAAACCTTGGCGGCCATTTTTTTGCTAATTTTACCTCTGTGACCAGGCGACCCCAACCTCCTTCCTTCGCAAATATCTAGATTTTTCAAGATAAGTTTTGCATTTTCTTCATCAAAAGGTGGTCAAATTAGCAATCTTTAAGATATAACCAATAACTCCAGATACCATAAACTGACGAGCGCCTGATTCTTCCGCGTCATGATATATTTGCAATATTTGGTTCCACAGACGACCAGCGAGCTATTCAAAACGTAGTTCTACGATTCTATGGCTAAACTGGCCTATCATTGTTCAGTACTCAGGGAAGGAGGAGGGGGGTATGACAGTGACCAGTCTGCATCTCTGCCTACATTCCAGGCCCGTAGTGCTTATGCCAACGCCGCCCATTCCTTATGTGTGTGTGTGCATGTGTGTATGCGCGTGAGTGCATGAGACACCAAACCAATGTGCCAGCATCTGGACAAGAAAGATATCCTGTAACCAGTGTTCCTGTATTGTGTATTCCAGAGCTGTGCCACCCAGGCTGTGCTCAAGGCTGATGGTTTGCAGGTTGGAGAACACACCATCTCCGTCGCCATTAGCAACCCGCCCGAGCGCAAAACCCCGCTCTCAACGAGGATGGACCCATTCACAGCGAGGACCCCATCGCTCGGAGGAGGGAAGAAGGAGACAGACTTGTAAGAGTGGTTTTCATTTGAGGGTGGGGGTGGGGGGAGTGTTTATCATTTGATGGTTGGAGGAGAGTCATATGTTTTTGAAGCAATGAACACTCAGGTGACCTGACGAAGGTAGTTGATTAACTCACCGAGCACCGCTTCCGCAGCATACGCGGTTCGGTAAAATTTGCGTCGCGGACTGCGACCGGAGCGTACGCGGGTTCAACTATAATTGACTATAAAGTAAACCCAGCAGTTTAAAAATGCTTGCAAATAGCCCCAGTGGTTTAAACAGGATATCGACGAGCTAGTTCTTTGTGGTTTGTGTATATTCACCACTTTTAGTGCGAATAAACGAGTTATTTGTCCAACGGACTGAACAACTGAAAGTAAGAAACTTCCGTGCAGTTTGTTGTTGTTTCTCTTAGGCGAAGCATGGCACGGCGAGTTGTGTCGAAGTTTATTGAAACTCGATAATTTTGGTGAAGATTTAAGTGACTGAAGTATCAAATAGATAACTTCATAAATCAAAATATGAATTCGCCTAGCAGTGATGAAGATGACTGAGAAAATGACATTAGACCTAGATCTAGGTCTAGACCAACATCGTCTCTCGATCGTGAATCTGACTCATCAGCGAGTACGCAGCCTGGTCCAGCTGGGGATGATGAATGATCTAAATCTAGCCTCAGTACTAAGCTCTAGTTCAAATCAGCCCTCAAAGTGGAGAAGATATATAATGTACCCAGGCCTGACAGATCTAGTCCTAGCACTAGCAGCACTGACAATTAAAACCCTGTCACCAAGGAAGATCTAGATCTATGATTTTTTTCTTTTTCAAAATTATCACTTACATTTTTATGCTACTTCACTGTACACACTCATGCTTCATTCTCCTACACACAAACACACACTGCCACAACTATTTTGTGTAAGTTTATTAGATTTCTGCTTTGTCACACATCACATCCTTTTTTTTCCAAATTTTTATTCCGAGGCAAATTTGTCCCAACTTTCTGTCCTATACATTTTTTGGGCGTTCATTCTTCATAAAATCTGTTTATTGTGTCTGTTGAACCCATATCTTATTAAATAGCAAGAAAATTTCATATATTTCAATTTTTTATGAATTTTCAAAAAGTTTGGGAAATGCCCTGGGGCGTAGGAGGCAAATTGGGGCGTGGTGCTCAGTGAGTTAAAAAAGAGTGCACATAATATAGGACTCTCCCAGTCGGATAATGTAATTGTGCGACCGCATTTTTTCGTGTAATTCTGCAATATTTGCCTAATTTTGGATTCACCACGTTTTTTTCACACCCCCCCCCTTCACAAAACAATTATTCAACACCTCGCCATGAGACTAAAGGGAAGTAATCGCCGTAATAAGTCTCATATAAATGATAAGCTGGTTATTTCCCTTGTTAGAAGATCCTGGTTAAGGGTTAGGGGTTTTGTTCCTTGAGCTTGTTCAATTTTTCAGTCCATCAAAAGTTGTTCTCATGTCTGTTGATGTTTCACATTTGACAGGTGTCCCTGGTTTTAGTGATGTGCCAGCATCAGAGGTCCAAATGTCTACTTTTTTTTGTTGACATTTTTCTTTCCTCTATAGATCTACAGCTGAAGGTTACAGAGATTATATTTTTTGGTTGTTTTTTTCTGACAGATGTGTATTGTTTTCTTTCCAAATACACAAAAATTTACTGATACTGATATGTTCTGTTTTCAATTTGTCTGTACATAACACAGGAAAATTCTTGCTGAAAAAGTGCACAACATGTCGTGAATGGCATTACGGTAACTTGCATAATTTTTGCATAATTTGGCCATCTAAATTTGCATAATTCTCCGGGGACAGATAGGAGAATGTTCAGAATCCTATGGAGAGGGGAAAACAAATAGAGAAGTGCTTAAAATGGCAGATTGTGAAAGATCTATAATCAGAACAGTCAAAAAGAGACAAAATTTTTGGGCCACATAAAAAGATTGAATGGACAAGTGAAACTACAGCTGTGTGAAAAGATAAAAGGAAAGAAGAGCAGTGTAGTACAGAAGAGAGACAACAGGAAGGAGTGGGGTGTCATGATAATCAATATCTGCTACAGGCTAGAGATCTGAAGAAGACTATAGACTACAGGCCTATCTTGACCCACCATGCTCCGAAAAGGGAATGCTGCTTCTGTTAACCTTTGTTGCTTGGTAACAAAGACAACAAACCTGCTCAGACATAATGTAGTATTCCTCACCCATCCAATTAAACAGAATGTAACGCATGCTTTGCGTTTTGTTTCAAATTTTTTTATGAGCAGCATTTCAAAACTATCACCCTCCACTCTACATTGCATTCCATTATTCTTTTCATTTCAGAGTTCAGAGCATTTGGTGGTGTCGGTAGTCAAGTAATTAGGCTACCCGACCTGTAATCATGAGATTTACGGTTCAGTGTTTCGATCCTCAGCTCAGTCCAACATGGTGTCCTTGGGAAAAGGCTCTTTACACAAATTTCCTATTTGGCTTGGTCTTTCTAGAGATTAATGTTAAACTCGGAGGTCCTGCCTCTTATAACTTATTAGTGTTGATAGGGGCATTCAGCCTATACCATTTCACTATTTAGAGCTATGTGAGTGAGAGAGTAAACATAATTTGCAGTGTGTCACATTTGAACTCTTTATTTTCTATTCCCTCTCTTTTGCAGTCGTGGAAAGGCTCGCACTCAAGTGTCGCTGGTACCGCGGGCGCTCAGACAACAACCACAGCCAGGTTCCTCCGCTAAAGTCGCAAGTCAAAAGACAGAACAGAAATCTTCCGCATCGAGCTCAGCCAGTTCCGGGTCTGCGTCCGCAATGAGTAACGACGACTTCCGCAAAATGTTATTGAAAAAGTAGCGACTTTGCTTATAATATTTGTAAGACTTGTGAGTGAGAGAAACGACCAATTCGTGACAATTTGTCACACACCTTGACTTACTAGCTAATACAAGTAATAGCCTATATGATTTTATTTGTTTTTTAGAAAACATTTTCTTATGAAAGGTTGAGCAAATGTTTTAAATTTTTTTTTCTTTATGCTTGTTGAATATGTGAGTCAAAGCAATACACTTGTGAAGTACACAAAGTCACTTTGCCCTGTCTGAGTCATTTCTAATTTTGTGAATGGTTGGTGGATGCTCTGGTGTGGTTTGCTTCTTCTTTCCAATCAAACATCTATCGTCTTTATCTCTCCATCTTCTTTTTTGTGCTTGTTACTCACTCGTAACACCTCTAATCTTCGGCACTTATATGACCTTATTGTGTTGCAAGTGCCGTGAAACTCTTACTAAAACTAAAAATTTTTGTTTGAGTGTAGAGAACCAGATTATCTTTATAATGTGCAGCTATGACTTACTAATTTGTACAAATAACAAGTGAGAAAGTACGCCTAATCTTTTTTTTTGTTCTTTTCATTAGCACACTGCTTAACACAAAGAAATTTCCTGGTCCCATGAAATTTGCTATCATTATCAGGCCTTTTAAAACTGCACTTTAGAAAGATATAGAAATAACAAGTCAATGGAAATTACAAGTCAAAATACAAAGTTATTCATCATAACAATATAGGGTACTTCTTTTTTTACATTCAAATAAGGAGAATGATGGGAAAAGAGCCATATATTGATTCATGATGATAGAAGGACTACAAGTAACTAGACGGTATCTTCAGCAAATTACGAGAACAACACTCATGGAGGATTATAAACAACATAGAAACAATGCAGTTCCATTCCATAGCAAGATAAGTTTTTCTTCTTTCATTTTTTTTATTAACTTTGCCAAGCACTGGTCTCTAACCCTAGAGACACAACTGCAAGAAACAAGCATTATTTCTTTCCTGTGCACTAACCACAGGATCTTATTAAAGGATTTTGTAACTCCACAACAAAGCGAAGTGGTAAAGAAACACAAAATTCTAACAATTTCTCTGAAATATAGATGAACCTGTCTGATTAATGCACAACTTCCACCCACTCCAAATTCCCAAGCATCAACAACAGAAATCAAGGACAACTTCCAGCTATATGGCACAGGCTGTATTCTCTAATAAAGCAACAAGGCTGACAGAATACACTGATTTGGGACCGTTCACAAATGATGTCAGCTCAGAGGGGGGTGGTCAATGAAAAGTTGTCCTTACAAAGTTGACGTTCACCATGATGCTCTAACACGGTTAGGGAAGAAAAGAAAGAAAGGAAGAAACAAAAATCGAACTAAACTTAATTTTTTTCAAATCATTCATTTTCATATTGCCAAATAATGCATACCATGCATAATTAAATATAAATTTTTTTTTCCAGGAAAGATTACAAGGGGGGGGGGGTGGTGTCATTTTTGGCCATATCTTAGATGATGTTATATGTGAACGGTCCCTTTACAGAGACACAGGCTCCTACAACTTGAAAATCTTTAACAAAGATGAAAGCTTGTCATAATCTATGGGCGAATCAGCGAATGACTTTGATAATGCCATCCAGAAAAACAGCTTTAAATTAAAATTTTATCTCACAAATACTTTGATCCAACCTCTAAATTTGTCTACTAAATTTATCCAATTAGCATTTATTAATTACTTCATCTTTGTGAAAATAAAGGCACAAAAAAATAGTGCAAGTTATCAAAAAGACATTCATATTTTCTATGATACCAAAACGTCACAAATTCCTGATGTATAGAACAACTGAATATTATTGTTCAGTGAAACCAAACGTGGTAAATACCATCATTTCAAAGAATAAAAATAAAAGAAAGTTTGTGTCTCCATCTCAGTTCTGCAGACAATACTGAAGAAAGTGTAACATAAGCTCTTTTAGTCCAGGCAGCACCACAACAACCACCCCAAACAGCCTCAAACAGAATCTTCACCGTTGGAGAAGAAGGTTTTTACCAACTTGTCCTCGATACACTGGCCTTCAACCAGCCTGTCTTTCTGTAGAAACAAACATAAATAAGAAAACAATATTAGTCGCTATTGCTTTTATTCTTAACCAGTTTTAAAAAAGATCAAACATTTGATAATCCCTTGAATACTCTTCAGGGTGGGTTCCAGTACTGGAATGGTCACGAGTGAGCCAAGGCCACTGATCAATGACGGCATGCAAGGTTGGTGGCATGGGGGTTAGATATGTGGAAACTGAAAAGTGTCCATTGATAAAGACAGATTATAATCCCAGGATTTAAAAAATAAGGTGCAGAGTTGTGGCAACCCCCTATCCTGATATAGGATTGTGAGCACCAATTTCATCAACGTTCCAATTTCCTTGTATCACTCTACCTGTGAATGCAGTGTTTTCCCAAGTCCAATCTAAATATAAATAAAGCTTTCTACCCAATCAAATAGCTAAGTACACATTGAGCAACCTATCTAAAAGTACTATCTCATCAAACAATTCGATACATCAACCAATGAAACACATGCCATTGTTTACCATACTGAGATTTGCTAAGTGTCTGATTCCATGTGATAAAGTTCTCATAATTGCTCTGGGCAATAGTGGCTTATTGATATTGTGATACTTGTAAACCAAGACCTCAAATAAAATTGAAATACTTGTTTGAATAAAATTTAACTTTATTTGACAAGTTAAAATTGAATTGACATTCATCACCGTGCATTGCAATTTCTTCAATTTTTTGGCATATAATTTTAGCATTAATTCATTGCCTTTTATCATGACCAAAGTAATGGTAAAAACCAAAAGTCTATGTAAAAAAATAACAGTTCATAGGCTCTCGCAATCAACTTTAAATTAAATGTGAAATTTAAGGCATTAAGGAAACAATCTATTCTTCTACGAGACATGACAGCAATCTGTACCTCACTCAGACTCATCCATCCCTCAAACTAGCACAATTCGGTATATGGTTCAGATGGCTCTAGTTCAAATTCCTAAAGAGACATTCTTGAATTTGGATTACTACGGAAGATTTCAAGGCTCTCCACCAATTTAATTCGGTTCTATCGCCTGAAGATGGATCATTAATTCAGAGGTCCCCTGCCTCTCCAAAATGACCTCACCAATGTTGAAAATGGTGTTAACCTAACCAGTGCAATCAGTCGAGTTCAAAATCAGCTACCAACATACAACAGTCTTACAGAGATATGAACTTATGAACATAGCACTTCATCACTCACCGTGGCCATGTTGATCACAGTGGGAACACTTGTCAACTTGTAAACTGGGTCAGTTCTGAAGCTGTTGTTTTGATCCTTCCACCTGAAGAGAGGAAAAGAAAACCAGGTATGGCACCCTTGATTCGCAATTTTCAATATGTGAGAGCAAGAAACAATTCTCAAAGATTAGTAAAGGTATTATAGCATTATGCCATACTGATTTACTGAAGCAGATTCAACGCAAACAGCTGTTTGAGTGATGTCATGTCTCTTTTTAAACCTGTCTAACCATGTTGCATGTGAAGTCAAGGCCAAGTTCCCTTGCGATTTCATCTGCTTGTGTCGTCATAATGGGACCAGAGATAGGGAGAGATTGGGGACTAAAACTTTTTGGGGGGCCTAACTAATAAACTAGCCAGTATAATATTTTTGCTGTTTTAGTGAGAGTGTTGCTGTATCTGTCCTAAAAATAATTACTATACCTACACACGTATACTGTAGAGAGAAGGAAATGACACCAACACAACCTTCTTCAATGTAGGACAAAGTTGTAAAGAAGTCGTAGAATGAAAAAGAACACACTTATATTACAACAGTGAGTGACGACTCACTCCCCGGCGTTGGCACAATGTTATTGTGTGTGTGAGATATGTGTATGTATGTATGTATGTGTGTGTGTGTGTGTGTGTGTGTGTAAGCCTGCATGTGCTTCAATACACACAAAAATATACCACAAAACAAAAGAAACTGAACTGACAAGCTTATGATGACTTCATCATCATCATCGCCTTTCTCACCCTGGGTCAGGATATAGACCACGAACAAACACTCTCCACCTTTCCCTATCCTGGGCTAGTCGCTTGATGTCACTCCACGTCTTCCCACTTTTCTGTACATCCATTTTTGTGACTCTTCTCCAGGTTCCACGAGGTCTTCCCCTTGATCTTTTACCCTGTGGGTTCCAATCTAACACTTTTCTTGTTATGCAGCTGCTTGACTTCCTGACAGTGTGTCCAATCCATCGCCAACGTCTTCTTCCCACCTCATCTCAGACCGGGCTCTGTCTGGTTCTTCTAAATACTTCCTCGTTGGTGATCCTGTCTGTCCATTTGATCCTCGGCAGCCTCCTCAGACACTTGTTAAAAAAACCTGGATCCTCTTTATGCACATATGGGATGCGTTCCACGTCTCACATCCATACAACCAGACTGACTTCACATTTGAGTTGAAAATTCTAAGCTTTGTTCGTAATGAGATATCCTTGGTCCCCCAAATCCTGCTCAAATAAATAAATGCAGCCTGTGCCTTTCCAATGCGGGACTTTATTTCAGCGCCTGTTCCTCCCTCTCTGTCAATTATACTCCCAAGATAACAGAAGGATTCGACGTCTTCTAGTGCATTTTCTTGTACTGTGACCTGCTCCTTCGCGGTGCATCTATCCTTAGGACTTTCGACTTTCCGGGGTAGATCTTCAATCCAAAAGACTCGGATAGGCTGTTTAAAATTGTCGTCTTTCCTTGCATCTGTTCCTGAGAGTGTGACAGAAGCGCCAAGTCATCTGCAAAGTCCAGATCATCCAACTGTGTCCATGGTGTCCACTGTACACTGTTTCTGTGTCCTCTGGTGGTTTCCTTCATCAGCCAGTCAACTGCCAATATGAAGAGGAACGGTGATAATAAACATCCCTGTCTCACACCAGTCTTGATGTCAAAGTTGTCAGTGAGCTGGCCATCATGTACAACCCTGCAACTTGTCTCTTCGTACATGCTCTTAATGAGGTTCACCAACTTCTGTGGGATTTCGTGGTGTCTCAGTATCTTCCATAGTGTTGCTCGGTCTACACTGTCAAAAGCCTTCTCATAGTCAAGGAAGTTGACGATCAGCTGGGAGTTCCACTCTAGGGACTGTTCCACAATAATCCTCAGCGTGGCAGTCTGGTCGGTGGTTGAGCGATTTTTCCGGAAACCAACCTCTTCATCCCGTAGTCTTGGATCCGTTCCTGTCTTGATTCTCTCCAGAATGATTCTGTTGAAGACCTTACCTGGTATTGAGAGAAGAGTGATCCCTCTGTAGTTGCTGCAGTTGCTGAGATCCCCCCTTTTTTGGAAGCTTCACGAGGTGTCCTTCTTTTCAATCCTTTGGGAACTTGCTCTCATTCCAGATCCTGGTAAACAGTGGGAGGATGATGTCTGCCGTCACATTGATATCTGCTTTTAGGGCTTCAGGTGGAATCTGGTTTGGACCAGCCGCTTTACCTTTGTTCAGCTTCTTAATGGCATCCAGAATCTCTTGTTCTGAAGGAGCATCACCGCAGATTGGTAACTCATTTCTTGCTGGCAGGATGTTTGGTGGGTTACTCGATGGCGGTCTGTTCAGGAGACTGTTGAAATGCTCTACCCATCGTTTGGACTGAGCTTCCTTTCCAAAAATGGTTTTCCCCTCTTGGTCCTTTACTGGTACTTCAGGTTTCCCGTAATTTCCAGAAAGTGTCCTTGTGGTCTGGTAAAGGATTCGCATGTGCCCTCCTATCGCTGCTTCCTCTGCCTTCTCTGCTAGCCTGTTCATGAATTCCTCCTTGTCTTTTCTTAGTGATTTCTTGACATCTTTAGCTGTTGTCCTGTACTTCTCCAATGCATCCGCTCTTGATCCTCTTGTTCTACTTGCATTCGCTTCTGCCTTCAGCTGTCTTCTTATCCTAATTAAATCCAATGAGGGTTGGCTAATCCATTCCTTGTGCTCCCATTTCTTCACGCCGAGTACTTCTTGACATGTTGATGTAAAGACTTCTTTAACCTTGGTCCAGTGTGTATCCACCTCCATGTCTTCCTCACCAAGATCCTCACAAAGACTTACTTGGAACTTCATTCTTTTGATTCCTGTTCTGGTTCCATGCTTTTTGAGACGAAGCTTGAGTTTTGTTAACAGCAGATGATGATCTGATCCAACGTTTGCCCCTCTCTGTACTTTGACATCTTCCAGTGAACGCCTGAACCTACAAGAGATACAAAAATGATCAATCTGGTTCTCCGTCACTCCATCCGGTGATACCCAAGTAGCCTTGTGGATCCTCTTATGGGGAAAAATAGAGCCTTCGATGGCAAGACTGTTGAAAGCACAGAGATTTGCAAATCGCTCACCGTTCTCATTCATTTGTCCAAGGCCATGTTGTCCCATGATTCCCTCGTAACCTACGTTGTCCTGACCAATCTTGGCATTAGCATCTCCCATTATGATGTTGACATCTTTCCTTGGCAGTTTGTCGATGACCCCCTGGAGCCGGCTGTAAAAAGCACCCTTGTCATCATCCGAAGCATCGTTTGTAGGGGCGTTGATCTGTACTATGTTCATGTTGATGCTCTTACTTCTGGTAGTGAAAGAAGCCATGATGATCCTCTCCCCATGTGGTTCCCATCCTCTAAGTGAGTTCTGCGCATACTTGCTCAAAATAATTCCAACTCCCTCCACACGGTGCTTGTCTTCCCTCTCAGAATATAATATTTGTTCCCCCGAGCTGAGCTGCTTCTGTCCAGACTGTATCCAGTGGGTTTCGCTGACTCCTAGTATGTGCAGCCTGTATCTTTTCATCTCTTGTGTCACTTGAAAACTCTTTCCTGCTTCATACGTGGTGCGAACATTCCACAACGCAATCCGGAGAGACTTGTTCGACAGAGAAGGTTTCGGGTCAGAAGAGTCCTTTTGGCTTTGTCCGCTGTCCTTCATTGTTCCTGCTGATGCAGAAGCTCCTCCGTCTCCCAAGATGGAAAAATTTTAAGGCATGTTTGTTCGTGTTTCTATAACTTTCCTTTTTTACTGGGTCGGGTAGTTGGTCCTCCGCAAACTGTCACTTTTCAAGTGGCCAGCCCTATGCACCTTTAGTCGCCTCTTACGACACGCAGTATCACGGCAGGTGTATTCTTTACTCCCCCATAGTAAAACTATGAGGCCCTCCACCTGCAAGGGCGTTATGATGACTCAGGCTACAATATTTGAAGCATCACCACTTGAATCACTAGTACTAGTTGATTAGTCTACTGCTGTCAACAGGCGATCTACCTTTCTCTCATTTCAAACTACCATCACTACCATCCCTTTGCACTTCATCATCTGAATCCGAGTTCATTGAATCATATGGATTCAGAATCTAAAAGATATCATGAGCCATTTGCAATTCGCATCAGCATAAGTATCACATTAGCATTCCATCGACTTTCGCCGCCTGACGTTCAGAACAAACCTAGAAACAGGACAAAGTGAACTCCTGTTCCAAAAATAGGCACACTTCAAGGGAAATGATGTTACTCTAGTAATTGCGCTATGCTGTTGCCACATTTATTGGCTATTAGTACAGTAGTCTCTGCCTAAATGCACTGTGCTCGGGAGGGCCCCATAGCGTGTGTTTTTACGGAGCGTGCGTTTAGATTAACCAGTGCAAAGGGAGGAGGGGACGCAATCATCTTACTTCCTTTACATTTTAGTGACCTTCCTTGGAGGGTGGGGGTCACTTACTTTGGCCGATAATGTGATGACACGTAACTCTTTTGTGAAGGATTCCCCAACTGCATTTATGAATTATGAATACAAAGGCGTTGAACAGGTGAGGGGCAGAAAGACGGACTCACTGTACTGATATGCACTATGAAATGTCGGGAACAGATAAGAGGAAACTATTCGTGATAGATTCAGTCTTAAGGATATGCTCTCACTCTCAGCCACGCGGCTTTCAAAACGACCAATCCCTGTCATCTATTGCAACTCGGTAAATGCATGGATGACAGGAGACTTTTCTCTTGTGATTCGTTGAACAAGTACCTATAAGTTCTTTGAGTGAAGCTGATTACTTTACTAATGTTTAATATAATTAAGAAGCATATCTAGTGTTTCACAGCATTCACGCATGTTGCGCTAGGCCTCCCTAAACATTACGTATGCTGTCACTCAAACACCAGGCAGAAACCTTCTCTCAAAGACCCATTTCGAGTGACCAATCATAAGACATTTCAGTCTCCCCCCCTCCCCCCAAATATATCACCCGACTAGTCCAAGACCAATATGTCTGTGAAAAGTTATTGGATGTGGAAACTGTCCATCGCTCTCTTTGTTTTGCATGAGGGCCAGTGTAGAAAAATACAGGTATCTATCCGGCATGCTCAAAGATTCTCTTCTACCCTATACACGATCTTTGGTCGTCTAGGCTTGTGCAAGTGCAAGCTGTGTAGGCTGCTGTGAAAAATGTCCCCTTGCCAAGATTTACTTATTGGCCTGTTTAACGGATCGAAGTGAGCGTTAAGAAGAAGTGACCGTGCGTTAGTACATCTAAATTATATTGCGTAAACCCTGTCATATGACCAAAGCGTGCGTTGCTTTTGTATGGCATGCGTTTAGACGGAGACTAATGTAGAAATAAAGAGGAAAATACGCAACCAACACGGGTATAATAGTGACGGTGAGTGGTCATACCTGTTGACCGACACAGGTGTGGCAATGGCGGTGAGTGAGTTAAGATGATACCAATGACCCCAATTACCCAAAAATCAACAAGCACCGTGTCATGGCGACACACGATACTTACTGTGGTCTGTCTCCAACATAACAAAAGATGACTTGAGCATCACTTGGCAATCTGCTCAAGTGCCGTCGAAGAACAGGGTCAGCTGAAAGTTAAGTAAAAAATGTACCTCTTTGATTATGGGAAAACCCTATTTTAAATACTTTATTAAAGGAGCTGTTACACAAAAATGACAGAACAATTCCATCTCGTTGAGTTATGTAATACACCTCCCCCTCCCACCAAAAAAAATTCGCAAGGTCAAGATCAGGATACACTAAAATTAAATATATCAAGCATACATTTATGCAAGGCCTGTAGTAAAGGCTGTGCAATTTGGCATTACAGTGGAATCCTGTTATAACGAGAGGGAGGGGACCGGAGCAAAATGTCCGTTTTAGCAGGATTTTCGCTATAAGGGATCCAGTAATAAATTCAAGGGAAACTGTAAAGTAGGCCTAATCTATGAGTTTGGTGTTATTTCCTTTTGCTATCTCCCCGGAGGATAATTTTGTTTCAACATGACCTCTAGGTCTTACTTGATCAAAAATCGAATCAGGTTTCTTTCTCTAGCACCAGATCTAGTGATTTTGACAGCTCGGCGTTGCCGATCAGAAAAAAAGGGCTCTGGGCTAACTCACCCGCTGTGTTTTCCCCCACCCCATCACACCCTGTGGTGCATTCCGTCAGCTTCCGCACGTCACTCATTCGCTCCATCCATTACATTGCTATGACCTCTCCACCCCCGCATCGGAGAAGTGAGAGGCATGGTAGGCCTTGATAGTCTAAACTAGGCTTACGCTGGCCTATCCCACGATGCGTTCTGCTTGTCTGCGCATGCCACACCCTCCCTACTCAGTCGTTCCGGCCTTCATTGTTGACACACATGGGCTCTCCCATTCTTTGTTTCGCTAGATCACCAACAAGTTTCTCAAAGTTTTATATAAATAAGAGTGCTCAGCTCAGTGAACGATAACAAAGTATAAACGGGACTATCTTCCCAGACTGGACTAAATAAGTACCATACTCTTTAATAACAATCTTATGCCTCACTTTTCCAAACATAGCACACAGGACGGGTCCAAGTGTGTGCTTTCCCAAGAGGGGGGGAATAGGCTTTCATAACGCAAAAACAATGCCTACCACTTCTGAAGATGTTTGCTTTTCTTGTTTCTATTCTTCTGTCATGCAATCAAGCAAATAAAAATGACTACATCTATTGTATTGTGACTAAAATGCAACAAAAACGTAAGTTATCAAGGCCCCCATTTAGTTTTCAAGTATCCTTCCCCTCCTTTCCGGTTCACATAAGCGGGGCCTCGTTTGTAGCGCCCGAGGCGACCGATGGCTGATGACGTCACTCAGTGGAAATTTCCCAGCCGGCGGTCGTTCACCCAGCACGCGCAAATGGCAATGCCGCTTTTTCCCTTAGTTACTCCCACATTTTTAAAGATTACGCGAAAACCGCTTAACACAGAAGCTTGAAATTTTAAGGGAATTTATAAAGAAAAATGGTGTATAACGTATCAGTCAGTTTGACAAATCACAGCTCCGAAAAATCTTCAAAGCACACCACATCAACCACTTTCGCAAACGTTTTCGACTGCTTCTAGGATGGGTACAATGTTGTCAAACTGCATACTACGAGATTGACCATTTTTCTGATTGGCTGCCAAGTTTCATTCATATCCATTCACGAGAAGCGGCGTGAGAGCGAGTTGAAGACAACAACCTTTGCGTTAGTGCGTCCCACGAAACACCCCCGCTGCGGGGGCCAAAAATCGGCAGAACAAAACACGCTCTGTGAGCATTGCTAGATAGCCACTTCCTTCCTAGATCTAATCTAGATATAGATCTAAATCTAGTCTAGAATCTAGATCTAGAAAGAAAGTGGCTATTCTCACCCGCCCGGAAGTTCTCGCAAGATCAACTCCTCCCCTCTTCTCTCTCTCTCTGTCTCTTTCTGAATACTGTCTATCAGTGTGGACGATCAAATTGACCAAAACAAAGTTAAAAAATGATGTTAAAACACAAAAGTAAATGTAAATTAATTTGGTTGTCTACAAAGATGCTACGGCTATTTAACTTTTCGAATCGAGCCGAACTAAGCGGGTCGCCATTTTGTTTTGCCCGGAAATTCTAGCGCTACTCCTCTCTCTCTTTCTCTCTCTCTCTCCACTGCCCACAGACAAAATTGTACGCTTTTAGTAGGCTACAGTTGTAATGGAACGTTTGTTCACGGCACAGAATTCTACAATTTTTCTGTTATCACAGTGTAGAATTCTGTGGTTTTGGGTGAACGCAAAATTTGGTGAACGCGCACCGGGTGAGAATAGCCACAAGACTCGCCTGCACTATTCTCACTCCGGGTGAGAATAGAGGTGGCCATCTAGAAAATTGATTTGCGACAGTTTTAGTGGCTTTATTATATATACTTTATATGTGAACTGCAGCAAACAATACTGCAGCTTGACCCCCGAAGCAGTGCATCTGTGTGCGGTAGTGACCGTAAAAATTTACCAACTGACCATTTCTGCAATCAGGACACCAGCTCATGGAATTTTCATCAGGGTCAGCATAGAAGACGACATACGCATTGCTAGATTTCTCTTTCAGGGCTTTACTCAAGGCTTCGTGTCCGTGTACAGTAACAACAGATGTCATTTTAGATTTGGAAATAGGCCTAAAACTAGATCTAGATCTAGGTTTAATCAAAATAAAACTTGTCGTTGAAATGAACTTTCGAAGTAAGCTGAAAAGTTTGTTTTCTCTGTGAAAGTGAAAGGGTTGGTATTCTCTCAGGACCGGTGACAAAACAAAAGAGCGATAACTTCTAACTTTTATTCTACAAGAGTTTCAGTGCTCTGAACCTGCCACACCCCCTTTTACTTTTATTACATGAAACAAACAGATTATTATACGGTAAAGAAAGTTCATAAAGTACAAAAGAATTTTTTAATATACAGATATCAATACAGAGATTAAAATAAATAGCTCATTTTGAAATTATTCTACCTGTATTTCACTGATGTTTTAATGGCCTTAAAATGCTACACTGTAGATCTAGTTTTGTTTCACTCAAAACTTTCCGGGTTTTTTTAAGTTATTGTCTTCACAGACATAAACAATCGCTTCGTGACTTCGTGATGACCCGTTGCACTCAGAGCGTTATTATTAGTTTGCCTTGACTGAGAGTTCTGCTTCCGCGTATAGTCTCAATTGGTATACGACAAGCATCAGGCCCACTTATCAACATAGCTACACTTAACCAGGCAACGTATGCGGAAATCATGTTATTTTGACATTTTTGCCCTCGACTTTTTTGAAGTGAAAGTTTGAAAACGGTGTCATCCAGTCCTGCGGAACCGATTTCCGCATCATGGCATCATGATGAATGATGAGTGTCAACGTCAACTGTGTAAATGTGGAAACCTTATTGATCAGTGAAGTGAATGGCTTTTAACTCTCCCTTCGGATCCGACTAAACCAGACATAATAAAACGCGTTTGGAAGTTTCGTCATGGCTGGAGTTCCTCCAAGATCCAGGCTGAGGAGCTCAAATTCAAGTTCCTCTTTCAAAGACAGGTCGCCTCTTGAAACACTGCAGCGTATGGGCTTCCCTAAAGCAAGAGCGTGAGACATTAATTAGAAACTGCTATAGATTCTAGATTCTAGATCTAGACCTAGATCTAGATATAGTAGACTACTCCTTTTTTTTTCTCATGCTCTGCAAAATTCTTCCCCATTGAACAGGTGGGACCACCCCATCTGGTATTGGTATTATTTTACGAAGTGACTATTTCTCCGAACGTTCGGAGAAATAGTGCCGATCTTTATTTCTTCGAACGGTTTTCGGCTTCCGGTCTCGTGATTTTTTGCCTATTTATTGCGAGAGTTCGGCGCCAACTTTCATTCTGCCTCTGCCTCTGGTCTGGGAAGGAACACGTACCGCATGGCAAGCCCGCCTACAGACAACCTTCAGTAACACCCACCACACACCCACCACCATCATGCACATGTACACACACTAACTAAACATAACTAGTGGGCAACTTTTGAACGTATGACGAGCTGAACTGTGGATGGAGAGACAGTGTGAGTGAAAGAGCGGGTGAAAGGAAGAATGTGCGAGTGTATCCACAGGCGACAGCAACTAAAAGACGACGACACTGACCACCCCTGGCCTGGTCCACAGCTCACGAACAAAAGGAATGCAGCTCAGGCGGTGCTTTGCCTATATTATTGTCCATGGTTCGCAGGGAACAAGTGAGATTTTCTTTGTGTGTGCCTGGAGGGATGGGGTGGGGTATGAAAGTCATGCGGACGGGGATGAGCCGCGGGAGAGAACACGGGAATTGAATGAAAGAGTGAAACTGAAAGAGACGAATGACTCATGAGTCCTGGAGTGAATGGATCCTGTGTTTCTATTTTTGTATACTTTGAACTGTTACTGAATAAAGGCTGAAATAAAGCCCGAAAAACAAACAAACACACACACACACTCCTCACTCTCCACTTACTACCACACACAGACACACTCAAACACTCACACATACACACACACACACACACACACACACACACAGGAGCAAATTTTTGGGTCTATATCTATTTAAATTTTCAACAGCTAGTCTAGATGAGATTTTTAGATGAGTGTAAAAACGTGAAAAAGAAAGGTTTCATAACAGAAAGAAATCAAAATTAGAACAGCCCATAAACAACAACAAACATTAACAAATAAGGGCGTGTGTCCACCTGTCCGAAGAAGATTGGCAGTTTTAACCCTAAATGTGCGTAATTTTTAAAAAAAAGTACAGGATATTACATGTAAATTATGGAATCACACACATTAAGGGGCTTGCCAGTGTCAGTACATTGGTCGCAGCAGTGACAAACGCAGATGCCAGTTCTATGTGTAGTTATCAATAACCCTCCGTAGATCTAGATCTAGACAGCACACGAGTGAACACAACACATTACGTTTAAAAGCAGCACCTTTCATAGGCAACACGTCATATCTATAGCGAAAAACTGTTTGGAATTGTAGCATTTCTTTATATAAATATTTACGGCGGACATTTTTTGGACCGATTGAACCATATTGTATACGAACAATCTTTGGTAGGCCCATACTATAATTATAGATCTATATAATATCCGAAATTTGGGGGAAAGGATGATATTTCAGAGTGTTCGGAGAAATAGTGCCCAGCTTTATTTTCCTGAACGTTCGGAGAAATAGTGCCCAGCTTTATTTTCCCGAACGTTCGGAGAAATAGTGCCCAGCTTTATTTTCCCGAACGTTCGGAGAAATAGTGCCGGCCATTATTTTAGGCCACCTCTCTATTTGAGAATAGCGCAGGCGGGCCTTTTGGCTATTCTCACCCGATGTGCCTTCACCCAGGGTCCCCACCAGGTCGGGAAATCGGGAAAAAGTCGGGAATTTTGAGATGGGTCGGGAGGTTGGGAAAAAGTCGGGAATTTTGTGATGGGTCGGTAAGTCGGGAAAGGATAGGGCCTGTGTAATGTGTAGCTATCTAGACTGTATGGTTGATGAATCCTGAAGAGGAAATGTTATTGAACCGCTGTGGCGGAAGTGTATGTGTGACACCGAGGCTCGATCGGGAAGAATCAAGATCTACTTTCGCTTTCGTTACCGCCCAGAAATTTTCCGGTAATAGTCTGATACTACTGATAGATAACGCAACATTTGTAACATGCAGGTTATGCATTATGAACGCTGTGTCGCCTTGAAAATAAATCAATATTAAAAATTGCCCTCTGCTGTCGCTTTCTGGAAAAAAAAAAAGAAAAAGAACTTATACAAAAGCGTCTTGACAGGTTCGCCCTCGTGACCGGTCAATGAACCTGTGAGTACCGGCGGTCTGAGCGCTGTGAAGTAGTCCAAATAAGATTCACTCGTGTTGGGGGGGCTGAAGGCAGCGCTAGAGGACAAAAACTGAACTTGGAAGCAAATTTTTAGCATTTTGATAACTACTTTAGAGGTCTCTGCAAAGCGAGCGTTGGTGCAGGCCTTGTGTGGAATCGGGATCCGTCATGCCTTGTTATTGAACTAAAGTGTTCGCATTTCATTGGATGGGGTGATTGTAATTTCTATATTTTAGCTTTCTGTTCAAGATTGGCAGATTTTCAGTGTCACTGCATCTTGCCCCCCCCCCCCCCCCCCAGTTCTTACACCTCACTCTGAATAGGTGTACTTGAGCCATTCTAGTTATTACTAATATTACTCTTCTTTGAGTTGCAGCAATGGTTTTTCCCTCGAATTGGGGTCTTGAAAAAAAATTGGGGGTTTTGAAAAAAATTTCCAGGATTTGGTGGGGACCCTGTTCATTGTGATAGGCCAACCAGTGTAGCGTTCTCTGTGAACAAATTTCCTGCGCTCTTGTGTTGAAAGCGTTCAATTTTGTCTGTGGACAGTGAGAGAGAAAAAGAGAGAGGGGGGGAGACAGAGACGGTGGGGGGGGAGAGAAGCGCGAGAACTTGAACAGGCAAAACATAATGACGACCTGCGTAGTTCGGCTCGATTCGAAAAGTTAATAAATAGCCGTAGCATCTTTGTAGACGACCAAATTGATTTACTTTCGTGTTTTGACATAATTTTTTAGGGTGACCTTATTTGGGCCACAGTGTGGCCTAAATAAGCTAAACCCCCCTCCCTTACCTTATTTAGGCCACACTGTGGCCCAAATAAGCTAAACCCCCCTCCCTTACCTTATTTAGGCCACATCATATGGTAGATTTCTTGAACTAACCATGGATTCGGAAGGTCGAGATTCTACTGATCTTTTTATTTAGTGCGGGGGATTATTTCAAAATAGAGGATGATTCTAAATAAGTGGACCAAGTGTAAGAGTTGTGTGTGTGTATGTGTTTGTTTTGTGTGTGGTTGTGGTGAGAGAGAGAGAGAGAGATCTAGAGAGAGAGAGAGAGTAAATGTAGTAGTGTGTTTGTATGTGTGTAATGTGTGAATGTTATTGTGTGCATGAGTGTCTATCTCAGTTGTACGGTCCAAATGTACATTATTTTGTTGAGAATTTTACATAGAACTCAACTACAAAACACCTTTATACAAAGTCACAGAAATATTCTTTTTGTGCTTATTGAGGTGCAGTACAGGGTGATTAAAACCTGCAAGGATAATTGGACAAAATGGGCAATATCTTACTAATGCTAATACTAATGGTCATATTTAGACAAATCCTATATCATTCTCTTTTTTTCTTAACAGCTCATGGTTATTAAAGAGTCAGCAAACTAGATCAAGGTAGTAATTTCGGATTCCTAATATTATGGGCATTCTTTAAAAAATTTAAACTTGTTTTTAGCGCTTTTTTCAACGTAAAACGGATTCCGTTAAAAAAACAACAACAACAATGACCTTATCTTTCTTTTTTAAGGTATTGTGCATACATTTGTGTGAAACTATTTTATTCTATGCTTTCAAGTACATGAAAAAAGCTAATAAAATCAAGCAAAATGTTTTTCAGAGACATAGATCTAGTAGTAAGCCCACTGGAACATTTTATAAACCGTGAAAAGATCACCAGAAAATAACAAAATTATCTTATGATTTTCACTTGCACTTGCAATTTTTTTGACAAATTATCGTCTACCTCGTTATCTTTTTTTTTTCACATTTTTCTTCACTATTCATGACAACTGGCATGTTTTCCAGTTATTATCAAGGAAGTGGATAGGCGGACCACGGGGTCTATCTAGCCCCAAAAGGATAGGTGGACCGCGGGGTCTACCTAACAAAATGCTGTTTTAGGATGTGAACCCTGGAATCAGCGTAGTGAAATAAGTAGATCAAGGTTTGACTAAGGATCGGTGGACCCCGGGGTCAACATAGTGAAATAAGTAGATCTCAGTTTATTTTATAGTAAGACTGGCGGAGCCCGTGGTCAACGTAGTGAAATTATAAGTAGATCTAGGTTTAAATTAATAAGGATTGGTGGACCCCTGGGTCAACGTAGTGAAATTATAAGTAGATCTAGGTTTAATTAAGGTTTGGTGGACCCTGGGGTCAACGTAGTGAAATAAGTACATGTAGATCTAGGTTTAATTTTAAGGATTGGTGGACCCAGGAGTCAACGTAGTGAAATAGGAAGGTTTAGGTTTAAGGTGGACCCCAGGGTCTACCTAACGAAATTTAATACTAGTTAGGTTTTAGAATAGGTGGACCATGCGGTCACCGTAGTAAAAAAGTAGGTTTAATCACGGTGTCCCGGGGGTCCACCAATTCTTAATTAAACCTTCTTATTCCTCTACGGCTATGGTGACTCCGGGGTCCACCAATCCTTTTAAAATTAAACCTACTTATTTCACTACGGTGACCCCGGGGTCTACTAATCTTTAAATAAATCTACTTACATGTATTTCACTACGGTGACCCCGGGGTCCACCTGTCCTAAAACCTAGTATTTTGCTAGGTAGACCCCGTTTTTAACAATATCCAGAAAATAACATAAAATGAGTATATAGATCTATATCTATACGCATTTTATTAAGTATATACTTAAAAATAAAAGACTGAGCAGAGCCTCACAATGTAAATTCTGTGCTCTACACGTAGAGAAAGTCTTAAGTTTGCGCAAAACAGATTTTAGAAA